TCTCTAGAAGACTAATCTTATTTAAGATTATCTATAGAGACCCTAGAGCTAGAAGTTATAAAGCTCTCTCTAGATAGGGTAAGATCTTTAGGCATCTTCTTTATATTAATAGGTATTATAATAGGGTTTTAAAATATTAATAATAGAAACTATTATTTTTTTAGAGAAATTTAATAACTTTTATAATATTCCTAAAGTTAGTTATAAAGAGCTATAAGAAGTAATATCACCCTTTCTTATTCTTTTTTTTTTCTTACTAGATTATTTCTATATTTATCTTTCTTAATAATCTCTTAGTACTAAATTTCTCTATTCTTTATTAATATTYTTATTATTATTACTCTCTCCTCTAATACTCTTATTCTATAATATAAGGCTAGGTCTACTCCCTTATCTCTTCTCCTTAAACTAATTATATATTTACTTATCTATTTTAATATACTTTTAAACTTTAATATTATTCTACCCTTTCTATCTAGATACTCCTGCTTCCTCTTCTCCTAATCTAGTTAGCTAACTCTTAGAATTAAATAAACTTTCTATATTTTATAATACTTAGCTTATAACCTTCTTTTAGATAGCTCCTTACTGCTACTATAAGAACACCCTATATAGATTACTAAATATATAAGGGATATTACATAGCACTCTAAAGAGTAGGTTAAGCTTTATTATAATTAGGAGTTATAAGCTAGGTTATATCTAGGTTAGATATAAGTTTAACTAGATAGAAGAGATACTATAATAGAAAGCAATTTATTTATTCCTTAAATAGTAGTTATAATCTTTTTCTAAAGAATAATATAGTTAGAAGAAGATCCCTGCACCTTTAGTAATAATATTATTATCATCCTAGTCATCTACCTTAAGGGTTAAGCCCCAAAATAGGCATGAGTAATCAGCTAGAACTAACACTATGTTTCTCTGCTACATTAGGTCTAAAGCTCTTAATATTATCCTATTATTAGTACTTCTCCTAGATAGATAAGTTTATTTTAGTCTTAGACTCCTAGGCTAAATTACTATTATCCTAGGTTATATATATATTATCCTTAGTAATTCTAAGCTACTTTATAACCTAGTTACTAGATCTACCCTATTACTCTCTATAGAAATATTAGAATAGATTATTATATATATTAGTTTATATCTTACCTTTTTTTTATTACTTTATTCTTAGTAGTATTAATAAGAAGTAATCTATCCTTCTTAGAGATATTCTAAAAATTCTCTAAGTCTTAGAGCTTTTTAAGGGCTCTCTAAATTATTTAATAATCTATAGTTTTAGCTCTCTCTAGCTATAACTTAGTATTAGTTATTTAAGCTTACTACTTATAGACTTTCTTAATATTAATATTTATAGAGAGTTCTTTATTACCCTTATACTTATAGCTAGCAAGCTAGCTAGGCTTTAGACTATATACTCTCTATATTAAGGCTATTTTATAAATTAGTATATATTATAGTATATATACTATAGAATATATAATACTTACCTACTTAATATATTATAAAAGTTATAGATAATCTCCTTCTAGTTAGACTACTTTTTAAATAAAAGATATAGCCTTTAATAAGTAGTCTTAGAAAATTCTCTTAGGGTAGTAGCTAGTATTAACTTAAGAAAACTAGCTAATATTATAAGAGCTACTATAGACTAAAGGGTATATAAAGAAAGATTAAAGAACTTAGTTAGGAGAAACTTAATTATAATTTATAAGACTAGTATAGGATATTAATAATATAAAGTAATAAATAAAGTAAGATAAAGAAAATATATAGAGAATAGTAATTATAATAGAGTAGTATAATAGTAGGTATAATAAAGTAGAGAAGTAGACTATAAAGAGAGGTAAAAAAGTTAAAAGAGGTAAGAAAGATAAGATATAATTTCTTTAAGTAAATTAATATAAGATAGAGATAAATTTAAGAAGTAAGTTAAATATAAGATAAATAAGTACTTTATATATTATTAATTATTAATATATTATTAGTAAATAGCCTTAGCTTTACTAAATTAGGAATTTCTTTATTTTATATTATAATAAAAAGAATTCTCTCTCTACTTCTCTACTTTATTATACCTACTATTATATTACTCTATTATAATTACTATTCTCTATATATTTCCTTTATCTTACTTTATTTATTATCTTATATCCTAAGCTTACTCTTATAACTACTATTCCTAGAGTATTCCCTCTATCTTACATACTTTATTTATTACTTTATATTATAATATTAAAATAGCTAGAACTAGAGCTACTACTAGAAAGAGTACTAGTAAAAACCTAATAAATTAAAGAATTAAACTAAAGAATATAGCCTATAAGATATTACTAGGATAAAAGAATATTATTATACTTAAGATAAAGCTAAAGAAAAAGTGCTATACCTACCTAGGAGGTAAGTATTTAACTACTAGATTATTTTATAAATTATTATATTTAATCCTATATTAGTTACTATATTATAGTAGATTAAGTAATACTAGAGTAGTACTAAACTTCTTATATAGAAGTTACTATTCTAGTACCTAGTTTAAGAGATCTATTATAATATTATAAATAGAAATAAGGAAATATACTAATAGATAAGTATCTTAATAGCCCTCTAGGAAGCTATAGAAGTAATACTTATTATAGAGTTTATAAGTATAGAATAAAACCTAAAGTAATATATAAACTAACAAGGAGTTAATAATAGTAAATCTAGTAGCTATATATATAAAGTATATTACTATCTAGGTTAAGGATATATACTTTATTTAGTATATTTATAGATATATAACTAGGTCTAGTATGCCTAGTAGAGGACGCCTTAGTAGCTATAAGTAGGAATAAGATATTATTTATTAATAATAAATAATAAGGGTAATAACTAAGAATAAGAACTTAATAGAGTATATTTATGGAATTTATGGCTATAGGTAATATAAGCAGATTATAGAAAAAAAAAGTTTTAGCTAGTTTTGTATATTCAGTCTGCCGTAAACGCGGCCATACTGATAAAACAAGGCAGCCCTTGCGCCTTGGCTGGGGCGCAGCGTCAGCTTCTGAGCTTACAGGAGAGAAAAAATCCTTGGCGCAGGGTAATTGCTTATCCCCCATGAAGCCATTACAGTAAGGAAGGTGTCAACCAAGCCACTCTAAGATAATCAGAAAAATATAAGTCAGTCCGTGTTCCAAAATCAGGCATCAAGATAAAATAGCCTAAATGCATAAAAAGTCAAGTCTTGGCTCAAAGGAGACCTGGGTGGGGTTAACGGCCCTTAGCATGACAGATGGGATACTTTAGCGGACAGCGGGTATTATTAAGAGGCATGGCTGCAGATACTCTCTGAAACCGCTGCTGCTGCTTGATTCCCTTCTCTGATGTCTAAGACATGACCGTACGGGCTGAGTAACGACACTATGGCCAGTGATCCTAGCAATAGTACTATATTGTTGCCTGAGGCGGCAACTTTCTCTCTCCATCAGCGCTAAACTCGTCCATCCCCTTTCAATCTCAGGCATTCAACTATCATCAAATCATCGAATTTATATGTCGGACACATCAGTGACTCCCGATGTGAGCTCGGATGCAGCCACACCGCAGATCCCCATGGTAAAAACTTGCCAGAATTGTGCTCGTGGCAAGATACGTTGTGTTCGAAGCGCAGGTAGCGGAAGTTGCCAACGGTCAGCATAGCACCACAACCGATCCGTCATCATCATAAGGGCTGACAATAAAAGATGTCAGCGTTTAGGAAAAGAATGTGTCTTCAAGCACGCTCCAAGTCTCATGGGAGTCGGCGCGACAAGTCAGCACTCTGATGAATGTCCCTGCTGCTAGAATCTTGTGCTGACTGTGGGGCGCCGTGCAGGAGAATTGACATCCTTGAAGAGAAGGTTGACCAGCTCCTGGCTAGAGCAGAGGCGGCCACATTCAAAAGAGGGGTCGATCAGGTAAGTGCTATGCTGCCCTACTCTTGAAGTAGTAATGCGCTTAATACATCCAAGAATCAAACATATTCGAGCCCATCGCGGAGCGAAGCGTCTGAGAGCCAGCGTGCAAATGAAGATGTTATTGACAAAGGAATTCTGTCTATGGAGGCAGCAAATGCTCTAATCGATGCATACAAAGCAACAATGATGCCTAATTTGCCCTTTGTTATCATTCCTTCAGATCTCAGCACCGAGGAAATACGTTGAACGAGACTAGTAGTATTCCTTACAGTCCTGATAGCAGCCTTGTACGATAACATGCCTTTGCAGCGTGTACTGGAGGAGCAAGTAAAAAGTGCGATTAGCGACCGCATGGTATTTAAAGGAGAGATCTCCTTCGATTTACTCCAGGGTCTTCTGATACACATTGCATGGTGTGTATGTCTGAACTGGATATTTAGACCATCCTCTAACAGGGGTAGGAGCCAATATCATTCGCGTCCTCGCAGGTTCTCTCAGTATCTGCATTTGGCGACCAGCATCATTGTCGACCGTCGACTGGACAGAGCTCCTGCTATGCGGTTGTGGCAAACAAGGATTGGCATAGCTGATGACAGCACAAACACAATGTGCTGGGGCCCGGATGAGCAGAGAGCTGTTGTTGGATGCTATTGCCTTTCCTCAAGGTACTTCACTTCACTATGTCTGATACTTGAAACTGACAAGGCGAAAGCATATCGCGAATCCTTCAAAAGCTATCAACCTTTCCACACACGCCATATATTGAAGATTGCTGTCAATCACTTGCTGCAAGCTCAATCTGTCCGTCGGACTTACAACTGCTTCATATCGTACATCTTCAGCAACTTTTGGAAAGTATTGATCACCTGTCGCCTCAGAATGCACCAGAACTGCATTATACAGATGCTGTCTTCAATCCCGTTTTTCGCAAGATTAAGGCTGAGCTAGATCAGTTCAGAGCTGATTCCCTTACTGCCTTTGCGCATAACCGTATGTTAACTGCTCAACATCATTAGCGCAGTCCTCTGGCTAACCAAAGCAGAGTTTCTCGTCATGCAGTTCCACACAGCAGAGCTATACCTTTGCCAAATCGCCCTCTTTGACCGGAAAACACGGAATGACTCGATGTTCTGGTCGTCGCTCCGCGTCGAAGCTCTATCAATGGGACTCGTGGCAGCCAAACAGTTCTTTCAATTCTATCTCGCGCTCCCGTTGCGTGCAGAGACTGTGTTCAATAATACGCAGTGGGTGCAAAGCGGATTTTGCTTGACACTAACTGCAAAGCTCTCTGTCGCCGCGTCAGATTCTTCGATTGGCCAACAAGTAGCAAAACTCAGAGAGTCGTTAGACATGTCTCTGATACTCCAGCAGGTTATCCTACGTGTCCAAGCCTTGGTCACGCCCCTGGTGGACGCACGAGGCGAAAGGGATGTATTTTATCACTATGAAAATCGCCTTAAGCGCTTGCAGTGGTGGTATGAAACTCAGATGACGCAGATTCCCGTCCAGCGCCAACACCATGCTTCGCCAACAACAATGGCATATAATCATATTCCCACCGCGGGGCCATCTCCAGTTTCGACAGAGGATTTGCAAACCCAGTGGCCTAGTCTGTTGCCGGATGCAACCATTGACGACCTATTCAACGAGTGGAATCCCGATATGGGCATCTATTTTGGGTTTGAGTAAGATGCGGATGCCATGACATTGAAAGAGTCTCCTTCTATCGTTGATCATTATTGGACCGACAGTGTTAGTTTAACAAACTAGCTAGAGCGATGTCCCACTCCAGATACCACACGCAATGAAGTATCTCTGTTTTTAGCGCGACACCCGGTTCATTTGGATGCTCCTATTCAAAGTCTTGAGAGGGTCACTGTAGTGAGGACAAATATAAAACAGGCTGGTCCCTGTTACATGCGACCCATCCAGAGTTTGATAAACTGGCCTTGTCAGTGGCAGGTCTTGCGCGAATGTACATATAGGTACGGAATCATCAGATACCTGCCATCACTACTTTCAAAAGACATCGAGAGGCAGGGAGATCATAGAGAGACAGATTCAAAGACGAAGTTTGCTATCTATTTCTACCGTACCTCCGAACGTGGAACACGCTTGCCATGTCTCTTTCTGAACTTGACTTTTGCTCCATTGACATAGTGTAGTCTATCCCTCTAGGGAGAGATGAACAACAGAATACTCTTTACCATGTGCAGAGAGAATGTCCGCAACCGAGGGCAGTTTAATACCGGCCCTATTCCTGCGTCATATTGACTGCTATACCCTCGTTTGTCTTGACGAAGAGAGGGACATTGATCACAAACCACGGAAGGGTGGTGATTTGACCACAAGTTCGCTCGACGAGCTCTACCTATGGAAGGGTTATTGAGCTAATGACAAAATTTGACCAACGTTGGTCATGGTCTGACTTGGGAACAAAAGCTGACAGCGATTCAGAGTGCGTCATATGATTAACAACACTCGCGCCTCTCAATATTGCTGGTTGAGCTCAGAAATCACCAAATGCTTGGAAAGCCAACCTTTCCCTCTTTCAAACATCTTAGCTGTTTATAGCTAGACGGAGACTACTCCAAGTTACGACCTTCTGGGAAAAGAACCCAAGGTCCCAAGCGTGCAGCACAAGCTCCCTATATACTAGCAAAGGTTGATAAGGATAGACGGGGGATGTGATAATGTGCTGGGTATATCTTTCAATTAGAAGCCATTTATTGTTAAACTATAAGCGACGTCCACGTGTCTAAAGCAAGTAAGAGCAGATTGCTCGATTTTTATGTCGATAGTAACATGAAATGTCCCCTCTGCCTTGACATCCTCTTAGCTTCGTTCCCACAAGCAACCAAAGCTGCGCAGTGGAGAATCATGCTCTCGATAGCCAGTATAAAATCCCGTCAGAATGGAGTTGGGTTCAACCGGGAAGAGCTGTTTCAATTTCGCAACGTCGAAACTCTGGCGTATGGCAGCGAACTTTCGACCGCGGTTTGTGCATATCTATCCCCGGATGTCAGCTCTAATCAACACCCCGTAAAGCTTGTTCATGACACACCGTCAGAGCGGGTAGATAAGGCATCTGCGCTAACCTCCCATAGACGGACGTGATGCGCTCTCCTCCTGCACCATCGATGGCGAAATCCGGCCCCCGCTTGTCATCACAAAAACCGAGTTTCCTGGACGTGATGGGGACGCTGTCGGTTGAGAAATGGAATTCGATCCCCCCAAATCCGCCTTTGAATCTCGTGATGGATATCCCTGTCAAGTACTGAAGGTACGACCCTCCTGGACCACCGAACCAGACCCAGAACAGGAGATTGTGACGAGATTTCGCCGGCGATTGGCCCATCCAGGCCCCTTCTTTCATGCGTAGATTGTCTGGTGGGAGACCTGGATACCATAAGGCAGTATTAAAGAGAGATGGCTTCAATTTACCTTTTCGCCGGATTGGCCGCCCCAGCGCCAGAGAGACGAGTTTGAAACCCTAGTCTGCCATTAGTACAGGGAGTAAATCGGATGCAAGGTTAGAGAGTATTCTCACGTCAAAAGAAGCAGTCATTCCGACAATCTCCCCTTCCAACTTCAACATACGTGTTTGAGGACATCTCTTGTTCGAACCGAACCATTTTGTGACCTCGAATCCTTCGTCGATTATCTGCAACCCATGAATTCCACTCGTGCCCGCTGCGACAACGAATCCCCCAAAGTCTACTATATCGGCTGAAGAATTATCCCGAGATCTGTAACCGAGTTGGGTGCTGGTCCCATTGTCGAAGGAAAGTTTAAGACCTGTGATGTAGTCTGTGCCCTCAATGTCAATGCATGAGGCAGTGATTTGACGCAAATGACTAGAGAGAAAGACACGCTGTGTGTACAAGATTTGGCAGCCCTCAATGTACTCTTCAAGGTCGTCGGTATCAGTAGCCTTGATAGGCCAAGGGAGCTTCACCCAATCCAGGCCCACAGGGTCCCTGGGGTTGTTAACAATAGTTGTTGCGTCAGGTTCAGACAAGTCCAGGATTTCTTTCAGACACCGTCCCAGTTCCCAGATCCTGGCTCTATTTTGTAATGAACCAGTACGCTGAATGCTTATAAAGCGATACAGCCATCTTGAGTTAACGAACTTGCTGGGTTCCAGTTCGCGCACCTCAAACGCGAAATCACACTCCTCCGACTTGATTTTTGAGGTCCAAAAGTGTGAGCTTTGCATCATGGTGCTCAACCGCCTTGACATGAATCGTAATTTCAGGCAGTCGTGCACTTTCAGGTGAGCACATATCTCAAACCAAATGTCCAACGGCAGCAGATCAAGACAGCAAGCACACTCTGGGCCGGATTCTGCTTTCTTGATCGGATACGGCTTTGATGGCTTGCGATACCCCGACTTCCTGGGCCCCATATATCCCTGCAATCCTCTCCTCCAGGTCCGATGGCCATCAGGAAAGGGGTCTTGCGCCATCGACCGCCAAGTCTCACGTCTCCCAGTCACACTGTAATGAAGCTCACCTCTGCCAGATATCTCGACCATCCCACCATACGAATGACCCCAATTAATCGTATTACGGGACAGGTGACACAGTGAGTTGCATACATCCACTAGCCGAGCAAGTGGTACAGCCCTTTGGCCATAAATACGTCTCAGGAGTGACCAGCATGCTCCGTGCAACAGGAATGCCGGCATCGAAGGGAACTGGACGAAACAGCGCTCGAGGTAAACTTCTATGTATGCAGGCTTCGGTTCATCGTTCCAACAGCTGTTCTCGGCACGAGGGACAGACAGCGCTGTCCTTCGCAGACGATATCCCAAGCCAGAGATATGTGCGCCGTCTCCAGATTGATAAACTGGTCCTCTGTCAGCGGCGTTGCAGCCCCCATCGGACAGGCACTTCACTCACCAACTCGGCACATGCTTGTCCATTTCCTCTTTTCTGTACTTCCTACATGGACTTCATCACCGCAGAGAATACAGTAAGGGGAAACCTTTCTGTGAGACATCGTCCGTACCTTCCCTTATATTTGGAACAATACATATAACATATTAGACAGCTGTAGAAAATTGTGTCTCCCGTACGAGGCAGGATCGAACCATCTAACTGGCATTTTCGAAAAATCTCTGGACAAAGATGCAGCAGGGCCGGTACTGCGTCATTTTGACAGCTATATTGACTTACTACCCAGGAACTATGGTACACCATCGCCAAACCATAGTATATTCATCCACTCAACGAGTTTGACTCATTAAAAGGCACGCTCCTTAATATAAAATAATTGGCATCGAAGAAATACTTACATGTGATTTTTAGTGTCATGTAGCATAAGATAAGTCGATGGGTTAGGGATGTATGTGAAGGGTCAACATCCAACCTCTTCCCTACGGGTCATTTATTCAGGGATGCCCGGATGACATTTTGCATGTCGAAATTAGGTTCGCATGCAAATGGGACAAAGATGCCGACAGGCGAATACACCCTCGTCTCTCCGGCGAATCCTTTCGGGACCGAATTAGCTTCGAATTTTACTCAGATTAATGCTAAAATACCATAATCAGAGTCGATAGATCAAAAGCCAAGTTAATGGTGTCTTCCCTTGCCTTGATTCATCAAATGGTGTTGATCATATGATGCCACTGGATTGTTACACAACCGACCACGCCCAGACATGTAGTATGCGACACGTCGTCGCCGTGCTATTAGTAACAGGAGTGCGTGGATTAAAAGGATTCAGCAGGCAGCACTGCCCCGCTTGGTAGGATCTTTGATATCACTCGTTTTATTAGGGGATGGTATGGGCCCGAAGGCCATAGGCAGCCATGAGCCCATGACCCTAGTAGGTCCTTTTGATGTGGTACATGTTGTTGAGCCGGCAATGTGATTTGAAGGATCTTAACTCATTTCCCTTGAGTTTTGACAAGATATTCCCCCTTTTCTGTCCCTACTAGGGGAATGCCTGGGCGGCATCCCACCACTGCGCCACCCTGTCGGCGCTCCAGGGCATGTGAGCCTCGAGGAAAAGGGCATAAAACCCCGATCTCCCCTTTGTAACATGAGATTCAATCAACTTCCGTGAATCATGTATATCTCAATCAGAACCACGAAGTCCCTCCTGGCCAGCCTTTTGCTGGGGCATGCCATTGCGCACCCCGGCAGCAGCGCCGGTCATGATCCGTCACAATTTGAAAACGCCAGTACCATCGTACGCGATGTTGCTGTAATCGGAGGCGGAGCTTCCGGCACCTACGCTGCCATCCAGCTCCGTAAGATGGGCCACAGCGTCGTGGTGGTCGAAAGGGAACCCCTCCTAGGCGGCCACACAAATACCTACTATGATCCAGTCAGCGGCCAGTATGTCGACTACGGCGTCCTGATCTGGCAGGATATCCCCGAGGCAAGAGACTTCCTCGCCCACTTCAAAATCTCCACGACCACGGTGCGAGTCGACAACTCCAATGGTGCCCGCGTTGATCTGCGCACGGGACAAAATGTGCCCCCGCCACAGGGCAATGTGACCGACGCGATGATGCGCTATGTGCAGCAGCTGCTCAAGTATCCCTACCTCGCGGAGGGATGGGACCTCCCGGACCCTGTGCCGGAGGACCTCCTGCTCCCATTCGGGGAGTTTGTGGAGAAATATGATCTCGCACCGGCGGTGGAGACACTGTCACTGTATGCGCAGGGTCTCAAAGACTGGCTGCCGTACCCGACCGTGTACATCATGAAGTATTTCAGCCTGGGGGTGGCGTTGGGCGCGCAGAATGGGTTCCTGGGCACGGTGGACGGCAACAACGGGGCGTTGTATAAAGCTGCGCGCAAGGAACTGGGGGATGATGCATTGCTCGGCAGCACGGTGGTTAGAATGGAGCGTCCAGCAAACCGTCCGCATCGGATCCTGGTCCGAACCCCAAGTGGCGACCGACTCATCAGAGCGAAGAAGACCATCATCACTGCGCCGCCGAAGCTGGAAAATCTGGCGAATTTCGACCTGGACGATACCGAACGTGGTGTCTTTGGGCAGTTCGAAAACACCTTCTACTACACCACTGTGACCAGGATCCCCGGGCTGCCAGCCGGACTTGGAATCCTCAACCGCGGTGCCGACACGCCGTACAATCTCCCTCCTCTGCCGGGGGTGTACACCATCACGCCGTCTCGCGTCCCGGAAATCTACACGATTTTCTACGGCGGCGGGGAAGCAATGACCGAGGACGAGGTGAAGCAGAGCATCAGCAACAGTGTGCTGATGTTACGTGAAGCGCAATTCAATACCTCCGCGCCTGAGATCCTGGCCATCAGTAACCACAGTCCATTCGAGTTGTTCGTTTCGTCCGACAAAATCGCCAGGGGGTTCTATAGCAATCTGTATGCGTTGCAGGGACATCGGAACACGTACTATGCAGGCGCTGCGTTCCATGCGCATGACTCTGCTGCCCTCTGGAGGTTTGTGGGCAATCTGTTGAAGACTATGTTTGATTGATTTCTGGAAGGCAAATATGCCGCTACCACTATATCAGAGCGTTGTTGAGGATCCTGCTGAAGTAGTACTATAATGTCAGTAATCTTAGAAAAAATGACGAGGAAGATCTTGCTTGGGTCGTTGCAGTCGACTCCTTGGAGCATGGATGCTTGTCTCCTTGCGCAGAGGCGCAGATAGGGCGAGGAAGTAAGATAGATTGTTCCAAAGTTAAAGATATCACGAGACAAGCACTGCTGAATGACGATTATTGTGCTAGTGTGACTCGACAGCACGTCGGAGCAGCGGTCACACAGCCTACATGGGATGAGTTGTTCAACAGTCTAGACTCTAGACCGCATTATCTATCAGCTCTGCTAAGAATAGATGCTACAGATGTTAGCCGGCTATCGTTACCTATTTCGTCATGTTTGTTCAGGGCGATCCGTCGACTCTTCATGAGATAATTAAATTGAAAGGTAGGGAGCGACCGAGTATCCTTGTGAACGGCATGTGAAATATCAGAATGATTGATTGTTTTGAGACAAGTTATCCAAGTAATTGCGCACCGGAATAACTAACTGCAAACAACCGCGGCTGAGTGAGATAAACGAATGCGGATATCATCAGGGGCCTGGATATCACCAATCAGGCTGAATGTCCCCCCCCCGTTCCTCTGGCTTGTCCAAGTCCCACAAGAACAGCCGAATGTAACCATGAGCAGGGATGTTGATCGGCAGCCGTCGCACATTCGTTCGGACTCCCGTCTTGGCTGCCGATCGCCAATTTCTCTTAGGCAAAGCTTGGGTCGTCTTGACGATTCGTCCACCGGAAGAATGCCTGGACTGGGAAGGTGATCTGAGGGATTGATTCATGCTCGATAACAGCGTCGTATTCCGACGGCAGTAATCGGTCATGAGGCTCGTTCTGACGAAGCATAATTGATATGAAGCGGATACTGGTTCAGATGGTGATCCCCTCGCCTTGGCGTTGTTTCGCATCTCTGGTGTTATAAAGAGGGACCGCCCCAACGGCGAGGGTGTATCGCTCTCATGTATCGGTAGAATCAGGTCTTCGAGGTTAACAATGTGGTACCAAAAGTGGTTGCTCCCTCTCCTGGTCGCAGGGGCTGGTGCTGCCCCGGCCAGCACGGCCAGCGCAGCCAAAGACAGTATCGCGTCTGTTGTCAAGAATGGCGTCAAGTATACCGTCTTTGAACATGCCGCGACCGGAGCCAAGTTGGAGTTTGTCAAGAACTCGGGCATCTGCGAGACTACTCCCGGGGTGAACCAGTACTCTGGATATCTGTCTGTTGGGGACAACATGAACATGTGGTTCTGGTATGTACTTCGCAATAATTGACTACATGCAGACCCTAATATGCGCAGGTTCTTCGAGGCCCGCAACAACCCCACGCAGGCTCCCCTCGCTGCCTGGTTCAACGGTGGTCCTGGTTGCTCATCCATGATCGGTCTGTTCCAGGAGAACGGCCCTTGCCACTTTGTCAACGGGGAAGATACTCCCTCGCTGAACGAGAACAGCTGGAACAACTACGCCAACATGCTGTATATCGACCAGCCCATCGGCGTTGGCTTCTCCTACGGCACAGACGACGTGACCAGTACGGTGACTGCTGCTCCGTATGTATGGAAGTTGCTGCAGGCCTTCTACGCGCAGTTCCCGGAATACGAAAGCCGCGAGTTTGGCATTTTCACCGAGGTAAGTCCCGTCTCTGAGCTTGCGACACCAGACAAAGCTGATCTTTTAGTCCTACGGTGGACACTATGGCCCCGAATTCGCCTCGTACATTCAGCAGCAAAACGCCGCCATCAAAGCCGGAACGGTCTCTGGCGAGAACATCAACCTGATCGCCCTGGGAGTCAACAACGGCTGGATCGACTCGGCCATCCAAGAAAAGGCGTACATCGAGTTCAGCTACAACAACACCTACAAGCAGCTCATCTCCTCTTCCGATCGTACCCGTCTGCTGAGCGTCTACAACAGCCAATGTCTGCCAGCGATCCAGAAATGCACCTCGACAGGCACCGACGCCGCCTGCAGAAACGCCGACAGCGTCTGCTACAGCAACATTGAGGGGCCGATCAGTAATTCCGGTGACTGGGATGTGTATGATATCCGCCAGCCACGCAATGACCCCTATCCGCCTGCGACATACTCCACCTACCTCGCCAACGCCGACGTTGTCAAAGCCATTGGTGCGCAGACGAGCTACCAGGAATGTCCGAACGGGCCGTATAACAAGTTTGCCCAGACGGGAGATAGTAAGTCCCCCCTTTTCTTCCTAGAGCTGCACAGCTGACGACGTAGACCCTCGCTCGTTCCTGTCGACTCTCTCCGACGTGGTCAAGTCCGGTATCAACGTGATCGTGTGGGCGGGCGACGCCGACTGGATCTGCAACTGGCAGGGCAACTACGAGGTTGCCAATGCTGTTGATTTCCCCGGCCAGGCGACGTTCAAGTCCAAGGGTCTCGCGCCGTACACAGTCAACGGCGTCGAGAAGGGCACGTTCAAGACTGTGGACAACTTCTCGTTCCTGAGGGTGTACGGGGCGGGACACGAGGTTCCCTACTACCGTGAGTCTTCCCTAACGTTGCATATGGTCAATGCTAATGTGTACTCTGTAGAACCCGAAGCCGCGCTTCAGGTATTCCAGCAGATCCTTCAGAAGAAGCCGATTTCCTCGACTTAGAGATATTGTGCGCTCTCTTTGAGACAGATGATTGGATTTATATACCATGACATACCGTTAATCACAATTAGCCTTGAAGTACATGGTTGGTGCTCATCGTATGCCTGTAGATCGTGCAGGGTTGAAGCGGTATACCCGGTATACTACTTAATGTCGATCCTCCTGGATAAATACATTTCGGCTAAATTCCTAGTGACGATCAAGGGATATGGATGTCTACCGTTGATGTCTGCCTTACCTGCTTATGCAACTAAATCCCCTCACTTAGACTATCAAGTATATAACACAGGAGTAACCACGCCAATGCATGCCACGCAACAGCAAAATGTGGCTCAGCTCAGCGCTGGCACTCCTCGGTGCCCTCTCCCCAACCCTCGCCGCCTCATTCAATCCCTCGACATTCACATGGTATACCACCCCAGCCGCAGACTTCGCCTCCACCCTCCCCATCGGCAATGGCCGTCTCGCAGCCGCAATCTGGGGCGGCGCCCTCGACAACATCACCCTGAACGAGAACTCCATCTGGAGTGGGCCCTTCCAGGATCGCGTGAACCCGCAGGCGTATGACGGTTCACCACGTCGCGGGCTATGCTTGAGGCAGGGAACCTCAGTGCCGCCAACGATGTGGTGCTACAGGAGATGGTGAGTATTCCCAGCAGTCCGAGGGAGTATCACCCGCTTGCATCGTTGAGGTTGGATTTTGGGCACGATGCGAGTGTTCTGCGGAATTATACGCGCTTTTTGGATCTGAATACGGGGGTTGCGGGTGTGATGTACCAGGTTGGGGATGTTGTCTATAGGTTAGTTGTCTCTTTGCTGCAAGTAGAGAAGGGCTGACTGGTTAGTCGGGAGTATGTTGCTAGTCATCCCGATGAGGTGTTGGCTGTTCGGCTCCAGGCGAGCAAGAACGGTGCGTTGAATGTGATTACTTCGTTGGAGAGGAGTAGATATGTGGAGAGCTTGACTGCTGGGAGCAGTCAGGGAACGGGGACTCTGACTCTGAAGGCGAATAGTGGACAGAGTAAGGATCCTATTAGGTTTACTGCGCAGGGGAGAGTGTTGAATCGTGGAGGTAGGTTGATCCCCGTTGTTATAAGTAAAAGCTAATATCTCAGGGCGAATCACTACCAACGGAACCGCGATAGTGGTCACCCGTGCCTCGATCGTGGATATCTTCTTTGATACCCAGACATCCTATCGATATCCCGATGAGACCCAGCGGAATGCGGTTCTCACGAATCAGCTAGATGCTGCAGTGAGATCAAACTACCCTGCAGTGAAGCAAGCTGCAACCTCAGATTACCAATCTCTGTCTGGCCGCGTCAAGCTGGACCTGGGCTCGTCGGGATCCGCAGGAAACCAGCCCACGGACATCAGACTCAAGAACTACAAAGCCGACCCCAACAAGGACCCCGAATTGGTGACCTTGATGTTCAACTTTGGCCGACACTCGCTCATTGCATCCTCTCGCGCAGGATCATCATCTGATCTTCCCGCCAACCTCCAGGGTATCTGGAATCAAGACTACTCGCCCGCCTGGGGAGGCAAATACACCGTCGACGTCAACCTGGAGATGAACTACTGGCATGCGCAGGTCACCAATCTTGCAGACACGTTCGGGCCCGTCATTGATCTCATGGATAGAGTCCTGCCGCATGGCCAGGACGTCGCCAAGAAAATGTACCACTGCAACACTGGGTATATCCTGCACCACAACACCGACCTCTGGGGAGATGCTGCCCCCGTCGACAACGGAACCAGCTGGACCATGTGGCCGATGGGCAGTGCGTGGATGTCGATGAATCTGATGGACCAGTACCGCTTCACCCAAGACAAGGCCCTCTTGCGAGAGCGCTACTGCTACCTCTTCGACTTTGAAGGCTACTACACCAGCGGTCCCTCGATCTCCCCTGAGAACGCATTCATAATCCCAAAGGACATGACTGTCCCGGGGAAGTCCACCGGAATCGACCTCGCCCCAACAATGGACAACCTCTTACTCCACGAGCTCTTCGCCGCGGTCATCGAAACCTGCGAGGTCCTCGGTATCACAGGCGACGACCTGACTAACGCCCAGAAATACATTTCGAAGATCAGACCACCCCATATCGGCTCCTACGGCCAGATCCTCGAGTGGCGACGCGACTACCAAGAGACCGAACCAGGACACAGACACATGAGTCCCATCCTGGGCCTCTACCCAGGCTCGCAGATGACACCGCTCGTCAACCAAACCCTGGCAAACGCAGCCAAGGTCCTCCTAGACCGCCGCATCACCTCCGGTAGCGGCAGCACGGGCTGGTCGCGCGCGTGGACAATGAGTTTCTATGCGCGCCTCTTCGACGGCAACAGCGTCTGGAACCACGCGCAGTCCTTCCTGCAGAAATACCCGACCACCAACCTCTGGAACACGGACCAGGGGCCTGGAAGTGCGTTCCAGATCGATGGCAATTTTGGCTTCGCGGCGGGAATCGCGGAGATGCTGCTGCAGAGTCATGCGGTGGTGCATCTCCTCCCCGTGTTGCCGGCTGCTGTTCCGGATGGTCGTGTGGGTGGTCTGGTGGCGCGGGGGAATTTCGTTGTTGATATGGAATGGAGTGATGGAGAGTTGCAGCTTGCCAAGGTTGAGTCGAGGAGTGGAGGAGTGCTGGCGTTGAGGGTGTTCCTGGAGGAACAGGATGCAGAGTTAAATATATAAACACAGCCTCGCTACAAAAGCGGCTGATCTTGATGCTAAGACGGTCGACGCGTTGACTTGATATTGTATCTATGTGGTGTCTATATGGAGCATAGCACTTGTCTCTGGGCTTAGTATTGGAATATTGTTGGAATATATTAGAGGTCAGAATTATGGAGGGTCAGTGTCTATATACATATGTGTACAAGAAGATCCCGGTTCAGGTCCAATAATATCGGCGATCGGCCGGTCCAGAATAAGCGAATACTGAATACCCCACATTCCCACCAGCCAGAGACGGATGCCTGGATTATCCCTGTGAATGATATTCCACTACCATTGCGCTGATCATATAATTATTCTCTAGTGGATAAGTGAATATCCAAGTCAAAATGACCAAAGATACCAGGACATTCAAAGTGCTCCTGGCAGGAAACTCCGGTGTGGGCAAGGTATTGGGATGCCTCATCTCCCCCTGGGGACTTGGCTAACCAACGCAGACAGCCTTCCTGCACCGATATCTCAAAAAAAGATTCGAGCATTCGCTACCGGTAACGGCTAACGTTGAGAAACATGATATCCATCTACACACAGTAAGTTCCCGCCCTCTGACCACCATACAATTACTCATGTGCTAGACCGTCGGCCCGGTGAGGTACGAGATCTGGGATGTCAGCGGCTATCAGAAACCAAACACTCTGGCATCAAGGGAATTCGACGAGATCGATGCTGCTATCATCATGTTTGATCTGACAGATCGGATTTCATACAATAATGTGCCCAATTGGTACCGTATGTATACCGCGTTTGCATTGGGACAGCGCTGACGGAAACGTGCAGAAAGCCTCGTGAACAAGGACGGGATGCGCCTCGGGAAGTTTATTCCCATTTGTATCTGCGGGAACAAGAGTGATGCCTCGGTGGATGCCAAATTACCGCCAAAGGCAATTACGTTTCCCAAGAAGAAAGGAACAGGCTATGTGGAGATGTCTGTCATGGATCTGGACAACATACATGAACCGTTCCTTGATCTTGCGAGGCAGATGTTGAGGAACCCTGCCTTGGTGTGTATTCCTGTCAGGCTATCGATTGACATGGCTAATACTTCTCAGTGGTACAAATCACCGCCCGATGTTGGGCCGGCAGTATTGAGATTTCAAACGGTGAACCAACGGTGGTCCCAGGAAAACGGATCCCAAGGTCTTAAATATGCAATTGGGCCCCGCGTCCAGACCAAGGAGATGCCACCTCCTGAAACTGAATCACAACCCGCGACGGTAGCAGATATTTCGGCTGAAAAGTCCCCAACCGTCATCGAGTCGCCCAAGAAGGCGGATACATCCAACGGGCAACTGAAGTTTATCAGTACTACCGATAAAATACAAAACGGGGTCAAACCGCCTGTAAACGGGACTGTCTCAGTTTCCAATGAGCCAAAATTGGCAGTCAATGGAACCGTCACAGTTGCAGAAGGGGAAACAACAAAGCTCCCTATCGTGCCTACAGAGGAGCACCGAGTTACGAAGCACCACGAACCGAGAAAGGAGAATCGCGAACCCAAGAAAGCATTCGAATCTCCGGAAAAGCAACCAAACCTTGCTAAGGATCAAAGCCTCTTCGTCTTGTGCATCCACTGCATCAGAATGGTGCTCATCAAGTGCATCCAGGGAACATCCCTAGCTCAACTATCCAATGACAACCCGACTTTTGCCCTCATCACGACAGCATGCCGCTCCTGCTGCCTCGACTCGAAAAAGTCTCAGTCGGAAGAAGTGCGCATGTCTCCCGATCTGATTCGGTATACGGCCATGTATGAGTGTGCGCGCAAGGTGGCCGAGGAGGAGGTGGAGGTACTCGCGAACAAAAAGAGTGTTGCGCATATTTCTCTTGACAAATTGACGAACAGTATTGGCCGCGAATGTCAGATTCAGGGGATTTCCACCAGTTCGGAGACACTGCAGCGGTTAAGGCAGGTGGGGAGGAAGGACGTGTTGTTGGGGTATGTGCCGGGGGCATTCCTCTAGTTTTGCCTTGGATTATGGAGATATATAGCCTAAATGCAGATATATTGGAGGTTCTACGATCATGTCTTCCCGGAATTCATCTTCATTGACTACAGGACTTCCTACGGGCTACCAAGTGCACCCTCGTACTCGACATCACATCGCGGATTCGCTGCTGGCAACTGCGGTACTGGCAGTTTCAATTGCAAGTAGTTGTGCCCGGGTTTTGATGAGTTTTGTTGATCAATAAATCGATTGATAACACGGTATAACTAGTGTGCAGGGTGTGCGGAGGCATGTTATGACTTCATACCGGGTAGATTTCCGTTTTCAGACTTCCCGATACTAGTGGAGCCGGAAGCGATGATCAACAAAGGAGAAACGTCACCCCCTTTCAGGATCAAGTTTTATCAACCAACTTCAATTATCTTCGTAGACTGAATTGTTCTGAATCTTTTATACTGAAGTTTTGGTTTGCAAAGATCACAATGTTTCAATGGTAAGATACAAGGCCAGGGCAGCGAATGACTCTCACACGCGTAAATAGGTACCAGCGAAGTTTAGTCCAGCGTCCTCTGTTGACGCAAAGCTTGACGACTGCGGTTAGTTCTACATTTTGGAGAAATTTGAATCAGTTATTCATTGCAGACAGTGTCTCTTCGCCGTCGGAGACAGCCTCGCCCAACAAGCCGTGGAGAGAAGAGGTATCGCTCAGCACGATGTGGTCCGTACAGGACGAATGGCACTTTACGGCGGAGGTACGCGGACTCCTTCCCTACAATGTTACCATTTCTGACAGTGATAGCTGTTTTTGGTCCTCTGGCCACAAAATGGTTCCAGGTCCTGCAGAGGCGCATCAATCTGCCCTCCGCGCAACGAACAGTCATTGGACGCGTAGCAGCCGATCAATTACTATTTGCTCCCACCATGATCGGAGTTTTTCTATCCAGCATGTCCATCCTGGAGGGTGGAAATCCCGGCGACAAGTTGGAGAGATCGTACTGGCCAGCGCTGAAAGCGAACTGGACGGTGTGGCCGTTCCTGCAGCTGGTCAACTTTGCGCTTGTGCCGCTCCAGTACCGGGTGCTTACGGTCAATGTGTTCAATATTGGTATGAGCCTTGTTTATCCTTTGGTTCTGGTGCTAATTGACGTAGGATGGAACTGCTTCTTGAGTTTGTTGAATAATGTGGGCCCGAAAGATGTGCCTCTCGTTGCTTGAGAGGAATTCGTGTTGTGTCATAGATATAGAGTGTACCGCCTATACATGTTATATAGACTGCCATAGAATAAGATGACATTTGGCTTGCCAGGAGCGAAGATATGAGAATTCGGCCCTTGACACGTGGAAGGCAGCTTCCTATTTCGGCATCCCGATCGCTTATGCAATACAGCGGCTTTTCCCTTCAGGAATCGTTCGCTTGTCGATTCTCACTTCTGCCAGGATAGACTTACGAAGCTATATTGGGGAGACATAGCAGTGCAAGAGGCTATTAGGAGCAGTGGACAAATAGACCAGCTTCTTTAACGTGTACGTTCCAAGTCGCCGAGCAGAGCTGCAGATTCGCCATCGGTAAGTCTGGCCAACGTTTTGACCTTTTTCATCAAATCAAAGCATCTAGGTGAAAGCATCTATTGTAACTTTACAAGCTACTGATTGAAACTAAACAGTTGGATACAATCCAAATCAAACCACTCCTGTGAAAGCTTATTGATGATTTTAGATTTGGGGATGCTGATCGGTGGAACGCGGAAGAGGTGGTTCGATCTATGGGATTTGCTTCTCAGATAATGAGGAGAACCATTCCTCTTCGTTAATTAATCTTGTATAGACAAAGGTCTGGATGGCCTGATTCAGGTTGCCTATGAGCTTTGTGGGATTATAGAACGATCGAGGTGGAAGAAGCACTAAAGACTCGACATTAACATATTGCCTCATGCATGGTAACACCCTAGAGCAACTATTCGTCCCACACATGACGAAGAAACAAGCTTCCCATCAAGCCACGACAGACGATGATGACTTGAGAGACTTGGCTGCTGTCATCAGTGATTGCTGGAAAAGCTTATGGCGGGGCATCGACCTCTCAAAAGTCGCCGTGGGCTTACCGCATGCGGGCGATGACGGCAACGACACGCTCTTCCCCAGACTGCCCCAGAATCCGCCACCCACTGCTGCGTCTAGAGTTCCTCTCTTGAACAGGTCGCCTAAACTCTCCGTTGGTGGGTCTGTGGAATATTCGCCATGTCATTCATCGGTTTCTTTGCGATTGTGGAGGAACAGGGATTGCTTCTCTTGTACCACGGACGTTGCGGGAATTCGAACCCTCCACGTGAGCAGGGACCCAAGCGGGGATCACCGATGATGACGAGATGATTGGGATTGAAGCTATGAGGCCGCTAGGATGATGCTTCTTCGCGATGCACAAAGGCTGCGAGGGGGTGTGCTTGTGTATGACCTCATTGTGACTTGGCGGAGAGCCTGTATTATATAGGACGCTATTATTCTTTAAAGCTGTTGAGGTGGACTTCTGATCCCTCACCCACCTCAATCCGAACCCCACTATATGCAAAAGAACTCTAATTGTGCTATAATTCTGGTGATCCGTAGTGACCATGCTGTTCAGGAAACCCAAGTTGCCTCAGGCCAATCCTGACGCCTACTACCAGGATGACAATGTGGCATCCGACACACACTCCCAGACTGCCATCGCGGGTGATGACAGTCAGTTGGTTGATACTCATATTCCACTCTTGACTTGGCGGTCGTTCATCATGGGCGTGTTTGTCTCCATGGGTGGTTTTCTCTTCGGCTACGACACCGGTCAGATCTCGGGTTTCCTTGCGATGAAGAATTTCCTGCGACGGTATGGTGAATTAGCCCCTGATGGGTCGTTTTACTTCTCCAACGTCCGATCCGGATTGATTGTCGCGCTGGTACGTTTGCTTCGGTCCCCCTCTGACATGTCTATCTGCTGATGAGTGATAGCTATCAATTGGAACGTTGATCGGAGCTTTGATCGCAGCACCTATTGCGGATCGCATAGGCCGGAAATGGTCGATCACCGGCTGGTCGGCGATGATCTGCGTTGGAGTCACCATTCAAATCTCCTCTCCCACCGGCAAGTGGTACCAGGTAGCCCTCGGCCGTTGGGTTGCCGGATTGGGTGTCGGTGCTCTCTCCCTTTTGGTCCCGATGTACATGGCAGAGTCCGGTCCTCGGCACATTCGTGGTTCTCTAGTCAGGTAAGTCATCAAGTTTGTGTGTGCTGTCAAAGCCAGCGCTGACTGTCGCAGTACCTACCAATTGTTCATCACACTCGGCATCTTCGTGGCCAACTGCATCAATTTTGGTACTGAAGCACGAGCCGACACTGGCTCCTGGCGTATCCCAATGGGCGTCACATACATCTGGGCCCTCATTCTTGGTAGCGGCATGGCCCTGTTCCCGGAGAGCCCCCGATATGACTACCGACACGGAAAGATCGATAAGGCCATTACCACGCTTTCGAAGATGTACGGCGTCCCGAAGAACCATCGCGCTCTGAAGATCGAATTCGAGGAGATCAGGCAGAAATATGAGGAAGAAGTGGCTGGTGGGCAGGTCACTTGGGTTCATCTCTTCCGGGCCCCGCGTATGAGTTATCGTGTCGCTGTGGGTGTCTCTCTGCAAGCCCTTCAGCAGCTCACTGGCGCCAATTACTTCTTCTATTATGGAACGACCGTGTTCAAGGGCGCCGGTATCTCCAACAGCTATGTCACGCAGATGATTCTGGGCGGCGTGAATTTCGGAAGCACCTTCCTAGGCCTGTACCTCATCGAGAACTATGGTCGTCGTCGGTCCCTCATTGCCGGTGCCCTATGGATGTTCGTGTGCTTCATGGTCTTCGCCTCCGTCGGCCACTTCAAGCTTGACATTCAGTTCCCGGAACGAACTCACACCGCCGGTGTGGTTATGGTGGTATTCGCTTGTCTCTTCATTCTTGGATTCGCATCTACCTGGGGTCCAATGGTCTGGACCATCATCGCAGAACTGTACCCATCCCAGTATCGAGCTCGAGCAATGTCTCTGGCGACCGCGTCCAACTGGATGTGGAACTTCCTGCTCGCCTTCTTCACCCCCTTCATCGTCGGTGCAATTGATTTCCTGTACGGTTATGTCTTCGCAGGATGTTTGTTCCTCGCCGCCGGGATGGTGTACTTCACCGTTATGGAGGGACAAGGAAGAACACTGGAGGAGATCGACACGATGTACGTGTGGAAAATCAAGCCGTGGCACAGCTCCAAGTATGTCTTTCCTGACCAGGTGGATCCCCGCAATGAATCCGAGAAGCGCGCAGCGGGAACGAATGAGCACATGGAGACGGCGGATGGTCAGCCAGAGAGTGCTCAGTCGGGGAGTGCTCAGCCGGAGCGCGCTCAGCCGGAGAGTGTGTAGAAGCTGGATATTATTTGGCGGGTCTTAAAATTCGCGTCATGTCATTACAGCAGAATCGTACCTATTCTAGCAGAACATTTACTCGGATATTTGTATATTAATGTATCGCGTATTTTCTCTTCTCTCAAGCCTCAAAAACTATAGGGTAACATGTCCCCTATCCGCTTGTTGTCCCGAGCCACCTTGTTACTATTGTACGACTACTATGGTACGGGATACGGTGATCTTTCGTCACCGCTTCGAATAGAATGAACTGTCAAGTATACCTAGGCAAAGCTACGCTACGATGGTCAAGACAGGTAACCTCGCGATATAAGGTTTAAAGACATACAAATGGCTCGGAAGCAGTGCAAGAGAGCTCGTCGCGTATTTGAGCTTTGCTCTTTGGCTGCTACCTTACCAGGATGTGTAGGTCTAGCACAGAAAATGCTATGATAGGGGCACCGCAGCCTTCCATTTATTGGTGACAAAGGAGGTTGATCCTCTTGGCAAGGTATCGACGTATTAGCAGTACGGAGTACAACTTTCAGGGGCACCATTCACCACAGCATCGTCCGGATTTGGCAGGAGATATCTTCATCATCCATTGTCTTAAGAAAGGGGCTAGCCAATACATACTCGGAGATATCCTTTCGCCCGAAGTTGGTCTCCATGGGGGAGGAATAGTAAGTTTGGGAGCTGTGTTAATCTGGAATTAAGTTTATGAAGGGCCATCAACAGGACATACATAGTGCTATCAAGATCAGGCAACAACAACTTCCGTGCCAGCCACATTGGCTGAAGAGGGGCATGGACAAAATAACTAACATATTCATTCCAGGCCAGACCGGCCTATCTGCACTTACAGCTTTTGAGTTACCCTGCACTGCATGCTGTAGCCTTTGGGCTAGTGGCAACTCTGAGCAATAGTATGTGAACACACATTACACTACTATTTCTAAATATCAATAGTTGCACATCATTTAAGCCTCTGGGGACACCGGTAGCTTCGCCAAGTCTACTCTGAAGTTTGGGCCATAAATTTATGGCCCTTTTGGCGGGGATTAATCAGACCCAACATTTTGAGTGGGTCTTGTCCAAGTATGAACTGTTGACCTCGGTAATCTGCCACCTCGCACGGTGTTCCTATGGAGGGGTTCTGAGGGCAGATGTGGTAAATGGAAACAATGTACAAGAGAGAATCTGTGATGGAAATGCCACTATCTCGATGGATTCCAATACAAGACTTCGGAGGTAGATCGAACCCAGCGCGACTTCTAGATCTCCGTGTAAAAGTAGATAAGCACTATGCAGAGCAGGAACAACCATAAGTGAAAATGCCGTGTCCTCGGCATTTGCTCAATCGCAACAAGGTGCGGGGAAGCCACGCTGGAGACGACCCACTTGGAGCTGTTTCCCCCGCATTTCCCCGGAAAAGCCCCAAAGGGAGCATTGAGATCGTCGGTATGAGGTAGAGCGCCATATCGCATGAATGGTTGGTGATGTAGCCAAGGGGTATCCCCACGGGCTAAACGAAGACAAGATTTCTACAACTATAAAATGCCGTCCTTGGAATGCTTGACCGGAGATGCTGCCTTGCCGTTCTTCCTCAACCATCCGTTTAGCTTCTTACTACCCTTCCAAACATCATGTCAAACGGTGTCATCAATGAAAAGTCGGACGAGCCTCTCCGCCGAATCCAAACGGCGGAGAGCGTTTTCCTGCCCATTTCTCGAGAGGCGTTTGAGAAACTCTACTTGAACCCCAAGAGTCCCACGGTTTCGGGGGACTTGCGCAAGAAGCTGGGAAACCCTACACCAATCTCTTTGCTAGGCTTCTTGCTTGCTTCCACCCCAAATGCGTGTATCGTCATGGGATGGAGGGGAGCCGGTGGCAATGGAGCTGCCATTATGTACGAGGATCCCCTGTTCAGACTTGGAAGACGATATTAACCCTGATCTAGTCCTGTGTTGATTTTCTTCGGTGGAATGGTTCAAATATTCGGTGGAATTGGGGAGTGGATTATTGGCAATACTTTCTCATGCGCGTTATTCTTCACCTATGGTATGCATGCCACATCATCTGGAAGACAAAGCAGAATACTTATATCATCCGGACAGGAACCTTCTGGATCGTCCAAGGAACAACGTTCATGCCCTTCTTTGCTACTGGAACCCATTATTCGTCCACTGGCAACTTCCTCGAGGGACAACAGACACCCATGTATAACGCCAGTATAGGTTCGTTACGCACAATTTCAATCTACCATTGGCTATGGCTGACTTGTTGGAAGCATTCTACTTTGTGGCGCTGGCAGTCATAACCTTCGTATACCTGATATGCTCCATTCGAACCAACGTCTGCCTTTTCTCCGCGCTCTTCTTGCTTGACATCACCTTTGGTTTGTTCGCCGGTGCTTTCTTCTCAGTTTCCGTGGGAAATCTTCATTTGGCTGAGAAGCTGCAACTCGTGAGTGCATCTTGACCTCGTGTGTTTCTCTAGATTGACATCTTCATCTATAGGTTGGTGGCGCTTTCAACTTTGCACTATGCATACCGATCTGGTGGATTTTCATCACGCAAATCCTGGAGGCTGTCGATTTTCCCATCTCGCTTCCTGTTGGCGACCTCAGCACGCTTGTCCCAGGGCGCAGCCAGAGAATGCGTTTGAAGCAGGCTGAGCCTTGAAGAAAAGGAGGCAAGGCTTTAGGACTGGCGCAGAGGATATAAGACGCATTGTGAGTGTTATTCACGCGTTTAGTATATCGGAATTCATGATACAGGCGAGGTGATGGTAATGTCCTGATGAGGCTGATGTCAAGCAATATGCCTGGTGTGTTATCGTGATATTCACCTGATAGAAAGTGGAAGTCATATTCGACTGAACATTGAATATATATATCTCTATTCTTCTTCAACACTGCTGGATAATTAATTGCCTTTTGAATAGGCGACAGTCAATAATTTTCATGATCTACCACAGATGGTAGGCCTCAGGCAAGTATTAGAGTTGCCTTGCACATGCGTACAGATACTCTGTCTCTGTTACTCATGCATACCACAGCACTTCATGGCGCAACCTGCACATCATACTTTTCACCTCGTGCAATGTAAGGTGAAAGGGAGATCCTGCATGGGCTATGACTAAAAAGAATGCAGACATGCAAGAATGATGACTGAGGTTAAACCCAGAAATGGCTTTTACCACATGATGTACATATTATTTCTTCATCATAGGTATATCACAGTTCTCCAGACTACAGGGAATATATATTTCAAGTCTAGCGCCGTATCGGAGCCCGAATCATTCAGCTTGGACTTCGCTCTCACCAAGCCAAACATGATACAGCAGCTTCCCGGCGTCTACTTGTCCGACCGCCGAGTGCCTCCCCCGGGACTCATACCTCCAACTATTCTCCCACGCTGCGCCAAGTCTGTCGATGCTCGCTCGCGTGTTCCAGCCCGTTTGTTGCTGAATCTCCCGCAGAACGCGGACGCATGCATTCCGCTCCGAGTCTACCACGAGACACTGACCCGCAATTGTAAGGAGTTGGACGGCATTTGCCCATGCGATGGTGCATCGATTCGCCAGCGAGTTGGCGACAATCTGGCGCGCGTACATCTGTGCGCGGCGAGTCACGTCCGGGCTGGAGAGCACTGAGAGTCGACTCGCCTGCGAGCAAGGCGTGCAAATGGTGAGGATGAGAAACGCAGTGTGCAGCATCTGCCATGCTGCGGACACGGGACCGTTCAAGTAACGCACAGACTGGAAGGGATTGTCCTCTCCATTCGGAGGTAGAATACTGATAGGTGAGCACACAGCTGGCGCTCGGTTCTGGTGGCGCACCAGCTCAGCTTCAAGCTCCTTCCATCGGGCATCGCGAAGTTGCTTAGCGTGTCGTTCGATGTCGTCGGGCGTGCGACTCCAGAAATCGTGAACCATCCCGAGGAGAAAAACGACCTTTTTCTGCCATGATTTGAGCGTCCACGTGGGCGGATCAGAGAATACACCCCCGGGAATCCATTCTTTCGGTTCTAATGCTGCCGGCTTGCCGGCACAAAGAGAGGCAAGGATAATCATCCTGCAGTAAATCCAGAATGACTGTATATTGAAGATTCAGGTTAGCCAGCATCGTCACAGCATGAAGAACGGGACATACAGCCTGTGCCAAACCGCCGCTCATCCCATGCCAACCATGCATCTTGAGAAGATCCCCGGTCCCCTTGAGGTGCAAGTCCCAGGCCGTGGCCTTGCTCTCGACCATCTCACAATGAGCTATAAGCAGACAGCTCGCAAATACCGCAGGATCTGGCCCGCTATGCTGTAGCCTCTTCGACAGCAGGTGAATAGCCGCGTTGTAGTATGTCAAAGCCTGTTCGTGGTTATGTTGCTGCTGGTCATTGACAAGGTAGTACTGGCGGGCTGCAACGGCGACACAGGCTAGCAGGACAAGCGTGTCGTTTAGAGCGAGCTGCGGCACGACGGTCGAGAAATACCGCGGTGAATCATCGAACATGTCGAAGCGCGGCCCGATAAAGTCGATGTATCGCCAGAGGAAAAAGGCATCAGTCGTATCCGTGACGGGGTTACCATGGCTAGATAGTACAGGCCGTGGCGACTGATGCTGGTCGGATGAGACGCTCGAGGCCTCGACGCTCGCACTTGTGATCTGGTATAGGTCGGCAACCTCTTCCGTTTCGTCCACAAAGGTCGCTGTTACTGGGAAGGCATTAGAGTGTTTCTTGCGGTGAGGGCCACGGTCCCGTGGGCGCTGCTAACCTGGACCTGCTACTGTCTTTGAGGTGACGAAGTCCTTTAAAATGCCAGCCGCGGGTGCTTTGAACTCGAGCGCTGTAAAAGTAACATCTTGACAAAGGGAACACTCAATCCCTCGTCGCTTGCATAAAGCGCAAGGCCGCGACTGATCACACTTGACGTGGTTCTTGCGACACTGCTCGCAGGCTTTGACATCAAATGTCAGCGTCCCTGTTATGAAAGACAATGGCATCTCTCATGTTCCAACGCCTACCTAACTTGGATCTCGAGCTAGGCCCTCGCACTTGTTTCGAGACGGATTCCCGAAAGGGCGGCATTGCAGAGAGCGGATGGCGCAGTTTGGCGAATTTGACTAGGTTATATATATTACGTGCACATATCAGTCCAGTCGTTGCCCTCAAAATAGTGCATGTTTTCTTGAGAGAATGAAATTACTTGGGTCCGTGGCGAGAGAAAATAGACTTTGAAAAGGCTTCAGAGACACTGGCTTACAAATCAGTGCACATTCAACATAAAATTTGCATAAATGGTCTTCTCCTTTACACGCAGAAGAGTGGGCATCTTCTTGGTTCAGACTGGCATATGTGTATATGTTCAAGGAATGAATGGATATAATTCATAGACAATAGATCACTGTGCACGGGCTCTGTCTGTGTGTCTGTGTGTCGCTGCACCCCGGATTACAGCTAAAGTGGGTTACTGGGTTTACGGATTGCGGGATCGGGATGGGCCAGGCCAGTGAGGCAGTGACATACGGGGAGCCCTATCTGTCCTTTTCCAAGAGTACCTAGGTTTAGATTACTTTTATGGAGTATCTTGGCCTTTAAAGATCTGTCAATGCCTACGGCCCTGACCGCATCCGGCCTAAGTTTACTTCTGAGGAAGTCCTTAATAATTGTTTCTTGAGTAACTTAACTAGGTAACTAACTGGAGATTATGACTATATCCATCCAGAATGCTGGACTCTTTACTAGGCATTACCAGATTTTGCCGTTTCGACAAGATCTTGTGGTATGCTATGAGTTGCACAGAGAAGGGAGAAGAATCATCTCTGTTGTGCATTTCACATCCTCCTCAGGGAAATCTCCCCAAAACTGTCGTCGGTGTCAGTACCATATTATCCAGCACGGCGCCTGGATAGCGCTGTAATGTTCAACGTACCTGAGCAACATGCTGTCGGATTCGGTGCATATTCTTGCCCGGCTGGATCTGGCCCACCACCCCTGGCCGGTCCGATTCGGTCCTCTTGGGCACAATCATGGGTCGTCCGACGAAGCACTCATGCGTCAGTAGCGCAAAGCCGAGAGCTTCTTTTGCGCCGATAGGGATCCCAATCTCGGAGATGGGGACAATACGTGTGTTGGGCAAGCGCTCCTTCAGGTACTTGATGATGTTGGGGTTATACGACCCACCGCCACCCATGTAGATCTCGTCTACGCCCCCCGGCGGACCCCAGCGTTCGTAGGCATCGGCCAGGGACTGGGCTGTGATGCGAGTTATGGTGGCGACACAGTCCTCTGGCGTAGCGCCGCCTGCAATGCCACATTCTGTCAGCTATATATAGTCTCGATTGGAGTAGTCAGACGTACGCGCCAGCATCTCATCGCAGATATCTTCCGCCATGCGATCCCCAAACGTCTCTCGGCCAGTAGTCTTGGGTATATCATGCACAAAGTACGGCCCCTGCAACACTCGATCTACAACAGACTGGTCAACCTTGCCCTTCTGGCCCATGGCACCATCCTTGTCATATTCCTGTTGACCGCCGGTGAAGTAGCGCACAGCAGCGTCGATAAATACGTTGCCCGGTCCCGTATCGAAGTCGTAACACTCTTCGACAGCGGCTCGGGGTAAAATCGAAAAGTTTGCGATGCCGCCGATGTTCTGCACAGCACGATTGAGCGTCGGGTGGCTCAGGAGGAGGGAGTCGAGAGCTGCAAATAGCGGGCAGCCTTGCCGGCCGAGAGCCATATCTGACACCCGAAAGTTGCCAAGCGAGGTGACGCCCGTGCCAGCGGCTATGATGGCAATCTCACCCATGTCGAGATGTGCACGGCTCTGATTGCCCTCAAAGAGCTCCGGCAGGGGTAGGTGCCAGATAGTCTGGCCCTGGCCACCAATCAGATCGACGTCCGATGCCAGGCTGAAATTGTTCTCCTGCGCGAACCAGTTGACGGCGTCGCTAATGACCTCGCCCAGCTGGATGTTGACAATGGCCATTTCCTCGGGCGTCGTCTTGTTCTCCTTGATGAGCTTCATGACTCTTGCCTTGAGCTTTTTAGGCATCGGGTATTCTCCATAGTGCAGGAGCTGCATCTTTAACGGCGCTCTCGGGCTGTCCTGGGTGAAGTGGACATGGACGAGGTCGACCCCGTCCATGGACGTTCCTGCATTGTGCCCAATGACCTTCAGAGAACTGTTGGGAGTTCAGCCACAGGTCAGCAATGTTTTAAGGACATAACGTGGAGTGCATTCAACAGGTATTAACACTTACAGTGGGCTGCCGCCGAACTGGTTCAAAGCGGAAGGCATCGTGTGGCTCAGTGTTAAGGAAATGCGCAACTTGAGATACAGATGATGGAGTAAAAGGTCATATGGCTTTGCATGCTTTATATATCTTGCCAGGAGCAACCTCGACAAAATCACGCCCCCACTCACAGGCATATCGGACTCGGTTCCCTTCCGGAGACAAGAGTCATGCCTACTGCCATTCCCCGCACTTCATCTTCTCGAGTGCTTTGGTTTTTGAGAGTATGGACCTGTGGAGACAATGACGGGAATCTACTCTCGGGGATGATTGCCTTCCGCAATATTTAACCTTCTCGGAGCTGCATGCCTTCCGGGGATTTTATACTTCCCCGGACCATGGCCTGGGGTTTAGCACCAACGCCTCATCAAACCCCATATTCTGAAAATCTATAAATACAGGTTGGAATCAGGACGCTGAGGTTGTTCCTCTGTGATATGTCCTGGGTCAAGATCCCATCATATCGATCTCCAACCAAGAGAATACCTAGACCACGTTTGCTTTCCACTCCGCAGTCATGGCCATCTTCCCATTGACCAGATACACAACCCACATGGGCGCATCGGGTCTGACGCTCAATTTCCTCGTCGCAGGCATTGCGACATGTGCATTTTGGCTTTTCGGCTACGACATGAGTGTTATGGTATACTCCCTTCTCAAGCCCTTTCAACATGACACGCCCGGTCTAATAAACAATTACAGGGCGGTCTCATTACGGAGGAGTCCTTCACATCTGTTTTTCCCGCGATGAACAACGCCAACGTCCAGGGCATCGTTATCGCCTCTTTTGAACTTGGTGCGCTTGTCGGTGCCCTCGCCTGCTTGGACCTTGGCGATCGCCTCGGTCGTCGTCTGACCGTTTGGTTCGGCATGCTCTTTATGTTGATCGGCGGCACGCTACAGACCAGTGCCTGGGCTATATCTCAGTTGGTACTGGGTCGCGTTCTCAGTGGCATCGGGCTCGGTTTACAGGTAGCCACGGTGCCGTCATGGCAGTCTGAGTGTGCGAAAGCGCATAGTCGCGGGCGTTGGGGTAGGCAGTTCTCCTCCCCCTTTCTCTCGTATTCGAGGAACTAGATAGCTAACTTCATCCAGTCATGATTGAGGGTGGTTTACAGACATTCGGCGTTGCTTGTGGCCAGCTCGTTGGTTATGGCTTCTTCTTTGTAAAGGGTCAAGCGCAATGGCGTGCACCCGTCGGCATCCAGCTCTTCCCGGCCTTGATCGTCTTTATATTCATTAATTTTCTTCCCGAGTCCCCTCGCTGGTTGATCAAACACGGTCGGGTTGAAGAGGTGTGTGTTCGTTCCTTTGCTTGCCGTTTCCGACGACGGTGAAGACATCTCGCTGACCGTACAATGTTTGCAGGGCACATACAACCTGTCAAAGCTTCGAAACCTGGCCGTCGATCACCCGGAGCTGGTCTTTGAACGCGACGCAATCATCACCTCTTTCGAAGCGCAGAGTGAACTCGCTCCGTTCTCCTTCAGAGAAATGCTGGACAACGGAAAGACCAAGACGTTCCATCGCGTCGCCATTGGATTCTTCATGCAAGCTGCGCAACAATTATCCGGAATCAACTTGGTATCGACGTACGCCAACAAGATTCTGCAGGAGTCGTTCGGCCTGGGTGCCAGCACATCACACCTCATCGCTGCCATGGGAGGTCTGGAGTATGCTCTATGCTCCCTTCTATCCGTGTTCCTCGTGGAAGGCCTTGGACGCCGTCGAGCCTTTCTKTGGACTACGATCGGCATGTCCTGCTGCTTTGCCGTGATCGCTGGACTCCAAAGCATGGATTCGCGCACCTGCCAACTGGTCGCTGCTGGATTTCTGTTTCTCTTCAATACCTTTTTCGGCCTTGCCTGGGTTGGAGGACCGTTTTTGTACAGCGCCGAGATTGCACCGCTGCGATGCCGCGCGCAGGCTAACGCCTTTGCCAGCGCTGGCAACTGGTTGTTTTGCTTCGTGGTGGTCATGATTATCCCACCTGCTTTCCAGAATATCGGCTGGAAAACGGCAAGTCTTCTTCTTTGTGCCACTGTGGGCCCGTTGGTCATCTAACCGGCGTCTAGTATATCATTTTTGCCATTTTGAATGCCTGCTTCGTACCCATCATCTACTTTTTCCTAGTTGAAACAAGACAGAGAAGTCTCGAGGAGCTTGTGAGTACCACCGAAGGAGAGAGTGTGAAAACTGGGCATGCCATGAAGAAACCCAGCAGGCTGATATTTTGCTTTTTCTAGGATGTCATCTTCGCTGCGGGTGGTGACCCGGTCAAAAAGGAGAAGACGATGCCGTACAATATACCTATCGGGGAGGCCCGGAGGATCCTTGGTCTTGCCGAGAGTACTAGTATTGCTGAAGTATTGTATCACGACGCGAAGCTGTCAGTTTGAGAGAACTCTTTTCCTTCTTCTTTTTTCCTTTTTCCCCCCTTATTGAAGGCAAGTTGTCATACGTGTTTTTAGTCGTAAGACTGGGTTATGAAAAGTGATTGAGATTTGAGAACATGATCACTCCAATGGACCAAAGCAGCTGCTATAATTTAAAACATTGAGATGGTTGTAAAGGGCAGCCGCATGTACAGGCAGCAGTACAATATTTGACGTGCGTGAGATGTTTGGATTCTCTCTCTACCTAGGAAGCCTAACCAGCAGTGAGATAGGGGCATGTTTGTGGAGAGCCTGTTGCCTAAGGCAATCATGGCAGTGCAGGTGGTCAAAGCTTACTAAGCCATCGAATCTGCCTTAGGCACCAATAAAGTATCCAAACTGGATACCGGCTCAGTCACGTGACTCTTTTCTACTTAATACACTACTAGACCTCTATAGTCTATATACATCTTTTTAGGTTTAGCTACTGCAGCCCTACGGAGGCGTGCACCAAATGTTTTGACGCATGCTAGTAAGCTTGGCTGTATCCTGCTGACGCAGCCCCCTAGTAATTTATATGGAAAAACATCCAGAGGGAAAAATATTCAAATAAATCTGTCTATAATAGTAATAATATGAAGCTATTCAAATATCTTCCCAGTCTAGATCATGAAGCTATCCCTTAATTCATCTTCATGACTGGTCATGCTTAGGCCTATCTCAGCTCTCTCAGTATTCATTCCCTCCTTGGAACTTAATAACCTCCTGGATATAGTGAATGAGGCATTTAATCTATTATTAAATCTTCTCCTATAGAAGCGCATTCCATGCCTTCATCTAAATATCTTTACCAGTCTTCTTATCTCAAGGGGCTCCGCGTCTAGTTATAAGCCTCTTTAGAAATGGCTAGCATAGCTTAATTATATTTAAATCAGGTGAGTTCCCTGGCCAATCTAGCAGCTATTAAACTATATGGATATTGTATACACACTGTTGACTATAGTAGATATGGGCTGGGGCCTTATCTTCTAGAATAATAGTATTAGGTTAATCTTTCTAGCATTCTTTTATAAAAGAAATAAGCTTTGGAATCAGAACTTCCTAGTAGAGAGAGGTTCTAGATTAGTATACAAATCACTAGGATTAGAAGAATATCTAGCCAGGCCTGCACGCGACGCAAAGTAAAATGTGATAAAAAGAGCCCCTGCACAAACTGCCTAAAGCATGGGATTTCATGTGTTGCTGTCAAGCGGCCACGTTGGCCACGCGGCCGGTCGGGAAAGCAAGCAATAAGCCGAGAGCAAGATCTGTGCCACCGTGTAGCGAAGCTAGAGCAGATGATACAGGACTTGACCCACTCGACGAGAGTAACCGGCGATATCTCCAATAGCTGTGGCGAGACTACCATACCTCGGAGTGGACGATCGCCAAAATCACCGTCGGAAACACTGCAGGCCTCTGACGAGTGGTTTCTTCCACAGCAGGTGAGCAGTCCGCCCTTGGTAGTAGGAACGACCCCTCTAAATACAGTAATAGTCGGTGATTCCACGATCCGCCGACAGCAGAGATGACGCCCTGAGCAGCGGGTTTGCCAGCTACACGACCAGACGAGAACGATACACAGAGAATCCCCGAGAGCTACTTTCGGAACCAGTGCGTCGGAGGATACTCGTCGAGATCTTTCTTCAGCAAGTCGACCCGATCTTGAAGATCTTGCACCGGCCATCTCTCTGCGCCTATCTCCTGGAAGAAAAGCCCTACTTGGACTACGACCGAGGGCATCCCGTACCTGAAGCTTTGGCCACTGCGGTGTTCTATATGGCCAGCTCGACCCTGACTGAAGACCAATGTCTCGCTCTGCTCGCTGAGAAGAAAGAGACGGTACTGGCAAGATACCAGGATGAAGCAAAGGCGGCCCTAGCAAGGGTCGACTTTCTTGTTACCAACCATCTGACAGTATTGCAGGCATTCGTCCTGTCCTTGGTCGGTCCCCTGCCATTGCGGAGAGACTGCGAAGCAAGCTAACCGCTGGTGCAGGTGGCTGCACGAACACACGATCACAGCCGACGGGTCTGGACAATGCTCAGCGTAGCCCTTCGCATAGCGCAAGCTCTCTCGCTGCACATGACCGATCCTCCATTTCCAGTAACGCCGTTCGAACGCGAGATGCGCCGCCGCTTGTGGCACTTGATCGGCTGGTTGGACCTTGAGGCATCGCTAAACCGCGGGTCTGAAAGCATGATGCGGTCTGCGTGGATTCAGACCCATTCTCTCACCAACATCAACGACGATGACTTTGGCTTCGACGCGGTGGGTCCCTTACCTGCTGCGCAAAGCGGGCCAACGGAGGCTACTCTTCTCATTATGTTTGCCCATGGCCAATGCGCTCTGCGTGCCTTGGATGTATCCCACTTTGCCGAACCGGGAATCACCGACATCCATATGCGACAGCAGACGGTGGACCACTTCCGTCGTACTGCGAACGGGCTGCTGGCCGGCTGTGACACCGAAAATGTCGCGTTCCACTGGTTCACTAGCCAGATTCAGGAGCAGATATCTGCTGTCCTGCAACTTATCGCTCTCCGGCCACTCCAGAGGAGTCCGACATTTATCCCTGCGGAGATACCAGCGCCCCAAATGCTCGCCCTCGCAGCCGACATTTTAGAACGGCGTCAGAGAATGTTCAGCGATCCTCGAGCACACCCCTGGCGCTGGTTCGAGCTATTATACTTTCCTTGGCATGCGCTGGTTGTCGCCATGACCGAGATCTGCGTCTGTACTGATCGATGGGTGATAGACAGATACTGGCCTACGCTCGAGCGTAGCTATGACCTCTTTCAGAAACAAGCTGTTGGTACACACTATGACTGGCTCTTGACGTCTATGGAGAATTTGATGACAAACGCCCGTGCTGCGCGACAAAAGGTGGTTGGCTCAGACGCGCCAGGGCATGAAGCACCCAATTCCCACATCTATATGGACATGGCGTCTCTCGAGGGCCCAATCTTGTCCGATACTTTGCCAGCTGTACCTGACGCGACTTTGGCAGAGGCGGAGCTTGCTCAACTACAAGACCAGGAGGCTACCGCGTGGGCGCGGCGCAGTATGGGGACTTTACCGACCGCTTCTGTGAGATGGATACGATCTTTGACTGTGGGCTAAGCAACCCGTGAGCACACTACAGTTGGCCGTATGAAATAGCCGAATCAAGGGATCTAGCTTGGTCATGGATTCTAAGCCTCTTGTACTACTTTAATTACTCGTTCACAAAGAGATGTAACATGCGCGAGGTGGTCTTCGTAGCTATCACCATTTCACTGAGACGACCTCTTAATCGAGGGCAGAATTCAGGTTGCTTTCGTTGAATTCTCGTCAAGAACAACGATACACGGAAGCGATATGTGTTCTAGCTATCAGTCCCTATCCAAGCGACTCTCACTCAGGTCTATATCCATCGCGGCTCGGAACGAAACCCACAACACCCTGGCCGTAACCCTCCCATCCGTCGAATTCAGTCACGTATTTGATGGCGGCCTTGAGGTAAAAGTCGTTCTTGCGACCAAAGGTCTCCTCGAAGACCTTCGGGGCCCGCCCCACTTTGAAGAAATGGGCGTCCAGAGCCCACTTGTGCGCCAGTGCGGTATCAAGGACCCAATTCCAGTCGTGGCCATCTACCTTGACGGCTTCGATCCAGTTGAGGGAGAAGCGGGGCCGCAACTGGCAGATGTAGGTCATGATTCCGAAAAGCGCATACTGCTTCAAGATAGAGACGCGGCGGTCCATGGGGAAGTAATGCCACAACACTCGCAACGCGTGGGCAACGGTCATGATGTGAACATTGAAAAAGTCAAATGAGTCCCGTGGGTTCCCATTGCTTAGGGCCAGCAGGACGGTCAGGTCGCAGCATTCTTCGAACTGGGCTAGGTGGTCGGTGACTTCCCAAGCAGTCCAGTGTTCTAGGACGACGGCAAGGTTTTGCTCCTGGCAAAGAACGTCGAGGTTGGCGAATCCAGGCTCCTCGAATAAGCCGTCTAGTCGTGGATCCTGTCGCACCTTCTCAAAGACCTCGGCCAGGGAGGTAGTCTTATACTTCGATGTGTCAGGAGGCGCCTGGTCAAGGACAGTATGCAGAGGATTGTACTCTGTGCACCCCTGACTGAGGGCTTGCGTCGCTACCTCTTTGCTGCGGAACTCGTACGCGTAGGCGAGATGGATAAACGGATGGCCCACTGTTTCGATCCCCGGTCAGCCTCGCTTGTGGTCCCTGGCTGAAAGTTAATGACATACAGCCTCCAGTATAGCCGTTTACAAGTGGCGCCGTGCCGGAGTAGAGATACTCTTCTAGCACCTTTCCCCAGTCTCCGTGTTTTTCCTTTACCTCATTATCAAAGAAGTCCTGGTATGCCACGGTGTACCTAGTCGGATGGTGAGTAACTTGTTCATCCCTGTAGGGACCACAATAACGCACTCTTCACGAGTAAGAAAATCCCTCCAATTTTCCTTGGAAATGGCCTCACCTCGGATAAACCCCCGCGAGATAGGGACCAACTGGGTAATTTCATGTTCATATGTCCTGGTCAATTGATCGCTGTTGGCGCCCAGCGCATACGCAGAGCCAAGGAGCTTCAGATCAAGAGTCAATGGACAAAACCCCATAATTATTTGCCTAGGGCAAAGAGCATACATGCGGCAAGTGACTGTGCAGGATCAGCTCCGGGTCACGCAGCGGCGCAACCGTAACATGGCCTTGCTCAAGGAGGCTTCGCAGCTTCTGGGCTCGCGCATCGGGGAACTTGGTCACGTCGTAAACGGGGACCGGTTGGAGATCTCTCAAACCGGACGCGGGGGGTAGTCTGATCGATTTTTGGGCGTGGATGCTCGTGCTGGAAGACATTGCTGAAAATCAGGACGCTTGGTATACGCTATTTATATGGTAGAATGGACTGCTGAGTCTCAAAAGAGATTGCTTAATATGCCTGTCTAATGGTACCCTCCCTTAGCAGTTGATGGCAGCTTTAAGTACCTTCGTTCGCCCTGGTCAGGCCCTCGTCAACTCAACCAACCCATGTTCTGTAGCGAGAATATCTGGACCATCCCAAGCACTTGGTCGAGTGCGCTGGTCTCTGACGTTCATCTTCCGTCTGGAGGTCCGTCGGACGAAATGATCTCGGGCTCTGGAACCCTCACTAAGTCCGAGCCGGTGGGGCGGCAAGACATGTCATGATATTCCACTTGTTCCACTGACATGACTTTCTAGTCCAATTAGAAAAGGTCACTGATGTGCCGGTATGTTCCTAAGAGCAGATCGGGCGTTCTTGGGAAAGGTTGTTTCTGGTCAGTAATGACTCTCCTCTGCGATCATGAAAAGGAAAGGTGCCACATGCATAGGGAGGTATGGGTTCAACACGGTTGCAATAATAGATATACATCGGACGGACAGACATATTTTCTCATGCTGCAAACTAGTGTATTGCGGTTCCGCTCTGATCTGTAGCCCTTTAGGATTATTTGACTACCATCACTCTATGCCAGCAAACCACCACTTCAGACGACGCCACCTCCGTTGGCTCTCAGAACCTGGCCTGAGATCCAAGCGCTATCCTTCCTCCACAGCAAACTAACCGCTGCAGCAATTTCATCCGGCTCCGCAATCCGGTTGAAGGGGTTATGGCTCGCAATAATTTGTGCCCGAGCTCCGTCCATGGCCTTGTGGAAGGACTCCGTGCTTGTTGCGCCTGGGGAAACGGCATTGACGCGGATTCCCGCGCTCGCTAGGTCTCGTGCCATGACCTTCACCATCTGGTTCATCGCTCCCTTGGTTGATACGTAAAGAAGGAATTGTGGTGGCACCGAAGACGCATCGGTAAGGTCGGTCGAGATAAAGATGATTGTGCTGCCCGACGGCATGTGAGGCAAGGCTTTCTGCGAGGAGTTTGGTCAGCATCGGTCCCTGGAATCTTGACTGGGACGGTTGCACCAAGCTTGGCGAGAAAACAAGGCCCTTTGACATTAACAGCGAAGGCGCGGTCAAATTCCTCCTCAGTGACACTTCGCAGGTCGCTCTCAGGCACATAGGCCGCATTGGGGATCAGGACATCGATCCTTCCGAACCGAGCCACAGTAGCTTTGATAAGTTCGTCAATCTCCGCGGTCTTGGAGATATCCGCCTGCACGGCAATGGCACGATCACTTCCAATCTGCGCAACCAGAGCGTTGGCCCCCTTGTCATCCGACATGTAGTTGATGACCACACTGGCTCCCTCTGCTGCGGCACGCAGGACGATGGCTCTGCCGATGCCCTTGGATGCACCGGCAACCACCACCACAAGGCCGGATAAGGTCATGGTGAGTATAGATGTCACAGAGTTTGTACGTAAGAAGGAAGAACGAAAGGTTGTACGTCGACTCCGGAGCAAAGGGAGATGATTCCCGTCTGCCCAGCAGTAGGGCAAATATTTAGATAGCTTGGCAGCCTCGGACTCGGCCATATTTCTCCCTGTTTGGGGGACTAGTACCGTGACACTGTGCCATCACACCTGTTTTAGATAGTGGATTCTGAGAGGAGTCGTTCACACCTGTCGGGCAACACCCGCTGCTCTAAGACTACATGTGGGGGTCTGCTTTCCTATTTCTAATCCGGAAATAGGCGGCTACTACAGAAGGCTTGCTTTTGTGTGACTAATAGGGCGCCAAAAAGGTATTCCGGAAAGCCGAATACACTGGCTACAGAGATAATGCAGGTCTATGCCTTTGTCCCGATCCCGTCCGGTCCCCTGCCTGGTAGGTGAGACGTTCAGAACTTCCGTTTTTACCTGGAAATATGTACCTACACCTGTGCAAACGATAGCGTACATAGCAAGCCTCTATTTCCCGGATCAGCAATCCATTTTCCTTGTTAAAATGTCGTTTTAAGACAGACCAGTACAGTTCGAGGGTAGTGGCCCTTGTTTACTACATTCCACTGTCGCTATCGGGCATTCGGATTTTGCGGCCTTTGGCTTCGGATTAGCGATTTGGGCGCTTCCACGAAAGTACCCTGTCATGTCTTGCGCTCGATAGAACACAGATTGGTCTTTGTAGCCTTTACATTGCTTGCAATCGGGGTACGATGTAGCTGTTGGCAATTCTGGTGCATCAAGGTGCCGACGGCGATTATGCTAAGTTATACGGACTAGTCACTGATTTGGACAAATCACACTTATTTCAAGATTCCTGGAGCTTTCAATCACGTTAAGGAAATGTTGCTTACTTTATCGTCAATGCCCAGTCGTGGAGCCCTGGATAGATACCGATGACTGACAGGAATACGTTGCAGAATGAGCATGAATCCTTCCCATATGAGCTGTTTATCAGAGTGCTGTGTTTTGCGGAAATAAAGTACCAGGTTCAAGTTCTCTCGAACAATTACTCCTATTGACTGGACTTTCGATTCACAAAACCTCTTCGTTCTTGAGCCAGGCCGGACATGACCACGCCAGGGTGGCAACTTGATCAAGTTTCAACGCACAGCTAAACATCACTATAAGAGTGACCCGATATACAGGAGAGAGAGGTGATAGACACGCAGGATCAGTCAATATCTGAAGGTGTCGGTCAGTGAGGTCCGTCAGTGAGATGGTAATTTCCCGACAAAACTTACCACTATTTCTCAGAGCTACTGTACTCCGGAAAATCCATGGGCGTTCAAGTTATGTACATCTCGAATTGAATGACATAATTCTACTGAAATAGTTGAATAGGCTTGTTCGGCTCTACCCAGTCGGACTTGCCCAGGTCCTTGAGCAACCAGAGTTCATCCAGCTTGCTAGCCATTCTCGGGGTCGAATGATCAAACATCGAGCCGCCCAGGAAAGTATAGGAAAAGCCATAGTTGACTGAATATACTGCCTCGATCTTATCAATTTCCTTCCTGGTCAAGGTCACGGCCAAACCGGCCATGCTGCCCTAGAGGGGTTCGGCCTTCCTCCCGCCGACGATAGAGAAGACATAGAGCGCCTTTTGCGTCACGTAGGCGAGGGCTACATTGACCAATTTAGGTCGCTTGTCATTGCTTACGTCCCTGACGACGTGAGAGATCTTTGCTCGTGCTACGATAGATCAGTAAGCTTGCCAACCGGTTGTACCTCTCAAGTCCCTCGAGACCATCTCTGGTCTGAGAACGACCGTGGTCGAAGGCCCCGTAGAAACAGAAGGCCATTGAATATTGCAGATCTTAGAAACTCTCAGTACATATGTCCCCTCAACAACATGTTTATGAACATCGCCCCGCCGTTCAGCCGCTCAGCCCGAGGGCAGATTCCCACCACTCTCTTGTCTTTTTAGAATACTTTAACATTCCGTCCAAACCCGACAAGACAGCCTGTTTCTGCGAGTCATCAAGGGTTATGGCCCCCTGCCGAGACAGAATATCGACTAGCTCGCGCGCGTCCTCTGCATCCTGTTTTTTCTTGTCAGATGTGGGCCGCATGCCGCAGCTGTTAATTTTGTAGACAAGAAGGTGCGGCAGGGAAAGAAAAGGAAGATGGTTTGGGTCCACCTCCTCCAGGGTTAGCGCGTCAACCGGGAGGTATGGTGGCTATTAGTGTGTTGATCAGCCTTTGTGTAATGCGAGAGGAAAGATTGAGTGAAGTTTCAATGAAGCTTACCAACTCCTGTGGGATGAAGTCCACCTTGGTCGTATCCGGGATATCGAGACAGTAGGATACTGGCTCCCGTACGTATTCGAACTTGTCCGGGAAGCGGGAGGCTAATTTAGCCTGGACATTCCGAGTACAGATCGGATGGTCCCGATCGAAAATTAGGATATCAACATCCTGGAGAGTGAGCTTGTGAGCAGCGTTGGTGGTTAAAGCTAAGAATACCAACTCACTTTTGTAGACCGGAAACCCGGGGCGTAATATCGAAGTGCGAGACCCCCAATTATGGCAATTTTAGCTCGTTGTAGCTCTGGAGCCTCTGGTAGAGCTTGCAGAGAGGTAATAACTTCACGGGCTGCTTCTGAGAGTTCCTCCATGATGAATTAGACCACTCACACTTCAATGCTTGCTTGTGTGTCCGGTAAAGCTAGACGGTCCCAGCAGTTATTTATCACGGGAGATCTTGCCTGTCTGATGTGTCTCTTACTATTTTTGCTATTCGTCCTATCTGGAATGTGGTGGTATGAAGGTGAGACTCTGTATGACAAGCTCATTATGAATAGATAAAGAAAGCACTCTGACACATCTGGTCTCGGTGGATTTTCAGCAGGAGGATAAAGAAGTGTTTCAATCAGACAAAGCGTCCCCAGAGACTTCTCTTCATCAGCCACTCCTGTTTCTCCTCTACTCTAAGCATTAATCTGAATAGAATCAATAATAGATTGGAGCGCGATGTAACAGACATAAAAATAGTAACCTCGGGTTCAAAGCTGGAAACAAGTCAAAGACAAAAAGACTACAATGAACAGGCAAGTCGAACCCACATGCATCAACATCGGAATCATGCCTTCCCTTAGGTGCTCTCCTGGGCTTCTCCTTCTTCCTCCTCCTGGGGGAAGAAATTCGCGCTCCTCAATTCTGCCGCCAGTCTGGTGCTATAACGAAACAGTGGATGATAACCGTCAGGGTGGTACCGAAGCGCCCAGAAGCGTTGAATGCGAGGTTCGAGGTCAGCTGGCTCCAGCTTACAGTCCAGACCGATAGAGCTCATTTCACGAAGAAAAAACCCTGCTTGACGGCTGTGCCCCTCACCCTCACGGCTCTCGTTGCGAAGATACCCGTAGGCCAACGACTCCGTGTAGCGCGGAAGCGTGGGCATTTTGACGGGGTAGTGAGTATGTGGCACTCGGCCCAACTGCACTCTCGGGTTGTACTCGTCGAGCCGATCATCGGTGACTAGCATGTAGTTGGGATCATCCGGGGCGGGCGCCCCTAGCGGGATGTCCGGCAACGTCCACAGCAGCTGAGACTTTTTGTGGAGCTCCAGGTGAAACGGATGCCAGTATCCGGTTTGGCCGTTGTGGGCGCGGGGTGGTTGGCCCTTGTCGTCGAGGATGAAGTGCGCGTAGGAATGCGGGAGTCTGCAAAATGGCTGGATGAGCTGGCAGTCGTCCCCTAGGGGGCAGGGGGGAAAGTTGGCAGCGAGGAGGACCTCGCGCGCTCTCTCGATGTGTTGGTCCGGAATAACAAAGGCAAAATCCTGGGATGGACTCGTTGGTCAGTGTCTGAGGCTTGGTTAGACTGCGCAGAAACAGAACTCACGGAGAGGACAAGAGGCGCCCCGTAGCGTGCCAAAACGTAAGGCCCCCACATGACGTTGGGAATGCCGTTGGCATCCAACAGTTTAGCGATGGATGCAACGAGATCCACGTCGACCTTCTGGCCGTTAAATTTGAAGTCGCTCATCTTGATTGCGTTCGGTCGGTTCGTCCAAGAGTCTTGGGAGCGATTGTCTTCGGCGCCGGGTTGCATGGTCATTTATATGCCATGTTGGCAAAAGCACCGGATGAAGTACAACAGGTAATCGATTCATAGTTGAAAGAAGACGATACACAAGCGCCCTCAATCGAGCGATTCTTGACCATGTCGTCGTCCTCGAGAACAAAGAAAGTTTAACTCGAGTCTCCGTTGCCATGGAACTAGAAGAACCTATGATACCAGATCAGACAAAGAGACACCAGATTAGTCTTTGATTATCCAGAGTCTCGTACATGACATCCTCGTTGGTGAAAGAGTGACAAAGGGGGAGGACGGAATCTCTCCATGAAAGAAAGACTTGACCCGGCTTGTGGTAGTCAAGTCGTCCTTGATATCATCTTAATCCCTAATGTTCGCCTTTGTTGCGACTCCTTGCATATATAGACACCACTTTGGAGATTAACTTTCAGCCCGAAAATCAGCATTGAGCTCCAGGAACAGCAACGCAGCCTTTGTTTTCTTTCGCTGGAGCCGATACCATGGCCACATCGGCTGTTCCAGGATAGACGCACAGGCTCAATACCTCACTAGAGAGACATAATTTATTCATGTAGAGTAGGTAATTGCCTTTGTCGATGCGACTTCCAGCCCTGCACAGTCTACAATTGATCGGAGACTTGAGGACAGAACTTTCTATCCAGCACCCTCCGCAGCCAGGACGTCTACCTCGTTGAGTCCTGGTATCCCGGACCATCCTTCTTTGACTTCACTTATACATTCTTCTGTCGAATTCAATCTACCCCTTGTCATCCAGTTTTATCTTATCAAATACACGCCCTGCATTTCACCGTCGACGTCAACATCCACGATATCCTCGACACCATTTAAAGCACCGGCATCAGCGCGGACTGGCGCCAAATCATGCCGCTTGTTCGGAGCCTATTGTTTTTGATACAGCTGATGCCTTCATACTGGGCTTGATACATAGAAAATTTGGGCTCTGTTCTCTGCGGTTGCCTTGATCCAGCCTATTGTGGCGATGCAGGTGATGTCTGTGCCGTGTGGCTTCTCGGGGTGGGCTATGCTCGTATTGATGTGGCTTGTCTGGAAACTTTGACCAATATAAAGCGAGTCCTCATGCCCTGATAATTTTCTGAGGGAAAGTGAACGATGTTGCGCCCGGATACGAAGGGTCTCAAAGCACTTAGATCTACCAGATGGCTCGATGACACCCTTATAACCTCATGGGTCCAGCAATATGGGTTAAACGACATGAGGGAGGCAGCGACGGGGAATTTCACTTCACGACAAAAAGCATCGTGGGACTGGTGTTTCTTGGAGTCGGCTGTCTATGGTGCATCGTGTTTGGATTTTTCTGGTATAGAAACAAGTCCCGCAAGTCCAAACATTTCAGCATATTCGCATTCTCAAGGACAGTACCATCAACACCACCGCTCCTCAGCATTACGATAGAACCATCACCACCGAATCTACAATTGGATAATTGTACAACACAGCACAACACTCAGAATGACGCCAGCATGCCGGCACAGCCAAACCCAGAGCCATATCCGGCATCTCCACGACCTCCTCGAGTTCGGCCGCGTGTGCGACGCCCGGATTCACCTCGGCCTTCAATGATTCTGATAAACGACGAGAACCAGGACGAGCCGAGTCGGTTGCATGATCAAAACGCTCAAATGCTCCCAGACGGACGATTGCCGGCTGAGGATGAACCAGAACAGCCCCCGCCATACGAAGCGCCTCCTCCCCCTTATTCCCCTTATCCATGGCAATGATGATTAGAGAGCAACGGGCCTGACTTCTTGTGACTTGACTTTTTCCATTTGTGATGTATAATTAAGGCGCAATTGAGCATAGCCCAGAAGTTTCAAATGGGAAGAGGGTAGCGAGGCATTTCAACAGGCTTATCATATCGGACCGCCTAGACGTCGTCAATCGTGTTTGTATACATCAAGATGATCCTCTGGTCATCCACCGCTTCACTCCTCTAAGATAAAACGGGACTGTGCGCATTTACAGGGTGAAGCCTTGGCTAGAACTGGAGAAGTATATCTCACGGTTATTGTCATTGTCTGTATAGCAATGAGCTTGTGTAACACTGTGAAGACATACAATGCGGAACATCGAGCAGTGAGACTTCCCTTCTTGTGGAATTGTGATATTCGTAGGGTTTTCTCGCATAAGAAATGTCAAAGAAGATAGACACAGATAGGGCCTCGAGTCCAGCATCATATTGACCTTGACGTCCTTCATCGACTGACCAGATTCTTGGTGATGAGGTTGAACCACTGATGTAGAATCTCCCCCTGGCACCAAATATCGGCTGCGACAGAGAGATCTCATGCAGTGGAGTTGCTGACATTCTTCAGAGTGACTTTCGACGACCACCTTCTTATTGATACCAACCGGTAGACCTGGAGGGCTTCGCGGAGCTTTGATTGAACTTCTTCGGCATCAACGCTTTGGCTCTAAGTCGTAAACATTGAGCCAACAGGCAATCAATGACAGGCCAATCTGTCTGGCTCACAACCCTCTTACAACACCTGCAAGGGTATTCTCGACGGCAAGATTGCTAATAAATGCCCCCGAGGCGACCATAAGTTTAAACCAGCTTTGCTAAGTGTCTTTCTCCTAGTCGCCCCTAAGGTATAGATTCAGCCATCAAACTCGAAATGACACCGTAAAACGGGTGTGTTGAACGCACGGAGTACATCAAGCATCAGGTCTCAAGGAGCCAAGAGGTTACAAGCAGTTCGGCAGACGCTTGCCACCAGCCTAACAAGTCCTAATTGATTGCAGGGTAGTCCTTCAGAAGTCGGTGGAGTCAGCGACCTTTCAAATCTCTATGAGCTGTTCGTAGAACTACAGCTTGAGCAGCTGGATAAGGGGGACGAGCTGTGGAAAAGCGGCTGTTTCAGGTCCGCGGGGTGGCAGTGTATCTGTTTCTGGCTGGAGTAGTAGAAGCAACTACTCTATCCTTGCTACTGGAATTGCCATCAGCCCTGGTGGTTGATCATCTGACCTGACTCATCATCCTATGATACCATGAGGTGCTACACCAATAAACCTTTTCAGGTTCAGTTATGGAATAATGGCTGATGTATATGAAGCTGACAAATGGAAAGTATCTAGTCCGTCACCGAGATACAGATCCTGACACCGAGCGAGTGCTGACTCACAGTCGCATATCCCGAATACGAGCGTGGTGATTGACGGAGCAATTATTGCCCATACTTTCAATGACGTCGATGAAACTATCGGCACTGTATATCCGGGGTCTCATGCCTAACAACAAACAAGGGAGGATGACTATGTCCATGAAGTGGCAAGAGGGCTCAAAGAAGAACTCGGTGTAGTGGTAGCAATGATTTCACTGGATACCAGCCAGCTGAGAAACTGCGTGTTCCTTGAATTATGATCAATTTGTCTTTTGTAGTTCCATGACTGGCGAAACGGCATCCTTCTTGTCAACGGTTACCTCTCCTATCCAAGATGCCAACATTGCGGGCTCACCGAACTGCCCCATTCGTTAGGAGCTGATGCTCTATAACGTTATGTCGCCTTTAGACCATACTAATAATAGTAGTAATGCATTATAAAGTACTGTCACCTGATAGCTGAAGAGGATATAAAATGAATGCACTACACCGGTATACGAACCCCCAAGTCTCGAACAAGATCATCGCTCCTGTTTATCCAACAACTCAAATAACCAAGGATGACTGTGAAAGTTGGCATCAACGGCTTCGGCCGAATTGGTCGCATTGTCTTTCGCAACTCTTTCTCCCATGACGATGTCGAAGTTGTAGCTGTCAACGACCCGTTTATCGATCCCAAGTATGCGGTATGTCGCATTCATCATGACCAATCGTTCTACGACGAGATCCATTAACAAGATAATGTTCAACAATAGCAATACATGCTTAAATATGATTCCACCCACGGCCGCTTCGAGCATGAGATCTTCCAAGACGAAGACTCCCTCACCATCCAAGCGCGTAAGGTGAAGTTCTACGGCGAGAAAGATCCCGCCAGCATCCCCTGGCACGAAACAGGAGCCGAGTACATCATCGAGTCTACCGGCGTCTTCACAACTATCGACAAAGCCAAAGCGCACCTTCGCGGAGGAGCCAAGAAAGTCATCATCTCCGCCCCGTCCGCTGATGCCCCCATGTACGTGATGGGGGTCAACGAGGAGAAATACGACGGCACGGCGGACGTGGTGTCTAACGCATCGTGCACCACTAACGCCATCGCCCCCTTGGTCAAGGTTATCAATGAGAAGTTCGGGTTCGTGGAGGGCCTGATGACTGCTATCCATGCGTACACTGCGACGCAGAAGCTGGTTGATGGGCCTTCGTCCAAGGACTGGCGGGGTGGGCGTGCAGCCGCGGAGAATATCATCCCTAGCAGTACCGGTGCGGCGAAGGCGGTTGGTAAGGTGATCCCGGAGCTGCAGGGTAAGGTCACCGGCATGTCTATGCGGGTGCCAACGTCGGATGTCTCGGTCATCGACTTGACGTGCCGGATTGAGAAGAGTGCGACGTATGAGGAGATTGTGGCTGCAATCAAGGAGGCTGCTCATGGTCCTCTCAAGGGTAGGACTCGTCTTTCCATTCGTATCCAATGTTTCAAGCGTATCTAACTGCTATAGGCGTTCTGACCTATACCGAGGATGATATCGTGTCAAAGGACATAATTGGGAACCCACACTCGTCCATCTTCGATATCAAGGCAGGTATCTCGCTGAATTCCAATTTTGTGAAGCTGGTGAGCTGGTACGACAATGAGTGGGGATACAGTCGTCGAGTGCTGGATCTGGTAGCCCACGTCGCCAGTGTGGATGCTCGAAAGTGACCTCGTTTTGAAGAGGAGTATTGCAATTGGCCTTTTTGTGGTTATTGATTGTTTGCCTTGTGTTGGTGGTATCATAGTACAAATGGATGGCGACCCATGTAGCTTTGCTTGTTCTATGTTCATTCATGCCTCTAGCTGAGTTGCGCTTATCTTATCCAAAGCGTTCTGACACATCACCCTGATCTGCTCCCACCTGCTTCGAAGTGAAGCTACCTTGTTCTGATGCCCAACTTGCTCTTCGCTTTGAGCTCTTAAGGATTCAAGAGCCTCTATTGTTGTATTGCTCTCTCGGAGGTAGATTTCAATCCAGTCACGGATAATGTTCCAGGTTTTCCGTGTGTCGAATGCTCTAGTTGCTCGGCCTTGTACGTAACTTCGAAAGTCATTGGATGGCATATACTTGACACACGCAGCGTTAATCGTGCGAGGGCAGACGCCAGAAGGCGTCACTTGGTAGTCTCTGCGCCTGTTGGTTAGCAGGCTTGCGCAGGGGATATGGCGGCCACTTACTCAAGTCCTTGCTGAGAGGCGAGCTCTTCCCTTTCCGCTTCAGAAAGAGTATTTGAGATGATAGAGTCCAGAAATATAACGTCAGACTCGTTCTGATCGAGGAAAAATCCATCTGTTTTAGGTCAGCCGTGCCAGTCCCATTGCGACAAGGGTACTTACACTCGACGAAGAGAAAATCATTGGAATGAGCTCCGTAGCTCATGAAGATCTCCTCTCCTTTTTCTAATCTATCGGGTTAGATTCGTACTTTGACGGCATTTGCATAGTCCTACCGTATCGACGAGACGCAGTAAAGGTGTACTTGGCTCCATCAAAGACAACCCCGCAATCCTACTCACGGCATTAGCTTTGCCGAGACTTGCGACACCGCGGTGTAGAGTGTACTGACAGCGTCATCTGAATGGTTGAAGTAATCTGCAAAAGGCACAAGACCTATGGCGTCATTCCAGTCTTCAGGAGGTTCTTGCCCGGGCTTGACGTAGTAGAAGCTTCTTGTGTTCAGAATTAACCAGTGGAAGGAGAATTTATCCCAATCCATGTTAGGGAACACGGTGAGTACGTTCCGCCATGCGTCCTGAAGCCTCTTCTCCTGCTGCGTGAGCAGGTTCTGGCTCTTGGACTCGGAATTTCTACCTTTCTGACTGGTTTCAAATGAATTCCAAATCCCAGAAGCTGAGGGAGGTAGGAGAAAGGGCCGCTCGCAGGGAGTCTGCTGGAACTCCGAGTTCGACCTCCGTAAATTTTCCGGCCACAGGATGGGCATACTGTCTTCAAAGTCCTTGCGCGATGGCCAGACTCTGCGCCACAGATCCCATCTCTTCAGAAATTCATGATCTCCCTCTGTCAGAAATGCGGCAAGGATCCCATGAATCGATGTCCCAGTAGGAAACTGTTTGACGAAAGAGGCCGGGATGGAATCGATTGTGATCATCAGATCCAAAGGGACTGTGATCATGACCTCACCCTCCTAAGCATGATTACTGGAGGTCAGCCATCCATGCTATACGTGTAGTGCCTCGTCTCTACGCACCTCTATGTTTCTGGTCGCAATCATCCCCGACCCACGGCCTGGTATGTGCGCGGGTGTGACGCCATTGATCTTGACTCCTTGGGACCTGGCCCATCGCATAAAGTCTGTATGCTGTTTACCTAGCTTTGTGTTTGCCATTTGTCGAGTATTATGCCCTACGGGTTGGCGTCGATTTACATGTTGTTTGTTGTTGGCAGTTGCTTTCGACAGCAGAACATATCGCGCGACGCGCCGCATCACGTGATTCTTGATGCCTTATAATTGTGGCACGGCATAGTCTACTCATGAGTTACCTACTCCTGAACACAATTTGTTGTCCATTCATATCAGCAACGTATTTAAGATCTGATCGTCATGCAAAGATGGATCA